AGATTCAGATATCCACACTTCTGAGGGAACGCTGGGGACGTATGTATTTAATCACTCTTCCATAATATCATCGACTATTCAGCTACAAGCATTATCACTCGGTCCTAAATTTTGTAATACGTCAACCAACAAAGTCAACTCTGAAATTGAGTTTGAAAGCCTCATTCGTCAGACAAGTGGCATTACTCCGTATATAGTTGAGACTATGAGCATTTCAAAACAATTCTGGTTAACCGTTGTGATTAATATGTAAACACAATATCTGCAACTAGACAATCGCTCACAAAAGAAGATAAATCATGGTTATTTGATCTAGTGAAAAATCAGAATTTAATGCTGTGTCGCACAGATAATGGTGCAGGAATTGTCCATTTGGACCATCATGACTATGCTGTCAAACTATCCTGTACGTTATGAACTGCTTTTGAAATATGTCTCCCTATATCCTATACTTGATACGAATAACTCCCCGTATCATTTGGTTGCTAAATGGTTAGCTGATATTTTACAACCCGTTAAAATTCACATTAATAGATGCAACCCTCTTGATTAATTTGACTTTTTCGACTTAATTAGAAATATAAATGCAAATGGTAGGAAAATGATCTCATTGGATGTAACTTCTCTCTTTACAAATGTTACTCTCACAGGAACTACATGATTTTTATGTGACTATATTGAAAATAATAACCTTGATATTTGTATCCCAAGACAATATTTAATAAAGCTACTTCTACGATGTACTCTCGGCGTGCAATTCAGATTTAACAATGATTTCTGTAGACAAACTGATGGAGTTGCAATGGTACGGTACTTCGACCAATAATTGAAGGGTTTCTGTGATTTAAGGGATATATGTGTGATACTTTCGTTATTAGTGAAGAAGATATGGAGCTTAATGGAGTTTTGAATAGATTTAATAGTTGTCATCACTCAATTCAATTCACGTTACAAGAGGTGAACGAGGAATTTGATTTTCCTGATGTCCTGATGTAAGGAAGGTCAGATGGTTCCTCAAAGAAATCTATGCACAAGAAGCAAGCTGGAATGGTCAGCGCACGAATTTTCATGACTGGATCTCATTGAGTGGAAAGAGAAACTTGATTCACTCTTTGTCCTCGAAGACCAGGCAAATATGTTCTAATGATACAACAGATGATGAACTACTTCAACTTCAACGAATAAACATCAAAAATGGCTATCCACTTAGATTCGTCTATAGAAACTTAACACCAAGACAACATTCTGAGCAAAACAACAAGTTGAACAGGAAACTATTTCAGAATAGGGTTGTGGGTATGGCTGTTGAAATCTTGAATAAAAGGATTTCGAGATCGCTGAATAATATCTTGTATTCAGCTAAGCTTCGTATCCCTTTCTCAAAACAGCCTACTATTCACGGATGTGTTTAGGATGAACATGGATATATATCTATAAATATGCTTGATCGTGTGGGGATAGGTTTCATTGGCCGAACAGGCGATCACTTTCCAAAGGCATTTCAGGACATTACCTGGATTGGCTTTTGAAAGGGAAATGCATAACAGTCACCAGTTCAATAAACTAGCACCTAATCAACTCTGGATACGTCATTTCAAAAGAATCAACACAGTCAAAGGAACTGAATAGAGAGGAGGCTGAATCAAAACGCATGTAATGCTGAAGCGTTGACTATCCACCAATTCATGTCAGGATTGTGCATGCTAGAACAATAGGTTCAACCTCTCATAATTCCTTAGCCCTAAGTCCTCCATGTAGTATGTTTTAGTTGTGTATTGCTTTTGTTAATGTTTTGTAATTTTAAACTGTAACCTATTATTATTATTATTATTATCGTTTTTAATGATTATTACTCAATCGTTATCATGATTTTTACGTTTTTCATTGTTCTTCATACTTGTCAATCGGACAATTAACTTTCATAATTCCGATCCGTTAATCATTTTCATATTCCTATTTTTCACTAACCCCCTGATTAGTACGCAACCTCATTTGATATTTGAAATCTTGAAACGCTTTACAATACAATCTTTTTTATCTTTCTATAGTAATGTTTACTTATTGATATACATGCATAAAAGCGTTTAATAGCAAGGTTCTTTTTTAGGAGATGGGGTTGCTAGCCCCATGCCCAAACCAGGCTTTGGAATGGCAGTGACATTGAAAGGGCTTCAGGTGGAATCATATCTTTGTTCATTTATTTATATCCATCAGAATAATGAAGTTTGTGAAAAGAAATCTCCTTTGCTGAATTTCATGTATTTCAAGATATACCATCATCAGAAGGGCTTTTGTGGAGCTTACAGTAATTTTATATTTGAAAAAAGACCGCCGTAGAAAACCTGGGAGCACTGGACGGCCGTTTCGTCCTATTGTGGAACTCCTCAGCAGTGCGCATCCACGATCTTGCCGCGCGCCAGCAATTAACCGATAGACCGCTGAGCCGGCATCCAACGGTTTTAATGTCTAACTTCAACCAATCCACGAAGTTGAGCAACCATTTACCAATGTCTTCAGTGAGTTGATATCTCCCAAAAGACCTGGTTGAACTCTACTGGTTATCGCTTCTCACTAGAACTCCAGGAAATACCTCATGGAGCCAGTCACTAGTGAGCATATGATCATTATCAGAAGGGAGTTTTGTGGAGAATTTAGTAATTTTATATAATTGAGATCATGATTCAATTGAAGCCAATAATATAATAATGTATAATATATATAAAATAATAATCTATTTGTATTATCTTCATGAGTAGAAACATCAGATTTTCTGACGTTTTATGACTCAGTGTTAATCAATTCTTCGGAGAATAAATAATCTCTGAAGAGAGATTATATTCTTTGTTACTTCAAAACAATAAATATTGATTCTAGCTGGATTTAGCATTTTGTATCAAGTTGCTTATTTACATATTATAACCACAAACTTTGTATCTAAAAAATAAATGGATAGATTAATTAATACGAGAAACCTAATGAAAATTTAGAGCATTACCTATGTGAATGTACGTTACTTTTTGGAGACATCATGTAAAAAGGTGACTAAAATCATACATTACAACTAAAGCAGATGAAGTACAATAAATTCAGACATACATAACCAAAGTAAAACTGTAAATTCGTAGGTGATGAGCTGAAATCGGACTGAATAGAAAAATTTGTTTTAGGTATTTTCTCTTTTAATAATCCTTCAGAATTAGGGCACGTGAAACTAAACATAAGTTTTATACCAGCAAGATTATTTAATATCATTATTATTAACACTAATATTTTAATGAATAACATATAGTTTATTATGATTTAACTGGTAATGTGAGAAAATGAGAAATAATTCTATTTGATATGGTATATTAAGTAGTATTATTGTCTTGAAAACAGTATTTCATGTTTTCATATAACATTCAGATAATCTGGTAAGCAAAGATGGATAGTGACTAGCAGTGGAATCCAGGACACGGGTTTCGTCCTATTTGGGACTCGTCAGCTGGATGTAACTGCATCTCAGAGTTGATGTTCACTCTGGGACTCGAACCCAGTAACTTTCGCTTCAAATGCCATCGCGTTATCCACTCAGACGAAACGCGCGTCCTGGATTCCACTGCTAGGCACTATCCATCTTTGCTTACCATGCTTGTGAATTTAGGCTATATCGAGGTAATACGCACAGTATGCACATATGCCAATTAGAGACTGACCAGTTGCAGTCCTAAACATCAATGGGAAAATTCAAACAAACAATACAAAGTGAATTCAGATAATTTGTCTTTTGTAAATGGTTACAAGCTATTTGTAGAATCCCCTGAATCTACAGTTTCTCTTAGTTCACAACTATTTTAGTAAGACTAACCTAGACTGTTTTTTGAAAACTGATAATTTCCTAATAAGATGAACCCGTGTCCCTTTATGACATTAAAATGATACTACCTAACTGAAGCCAGGCTATAGGAAGTTAGTCAGTAATAAAACAAGACAAGTTGAATTAAAGGTTACGCTAAATAAGAAGCTACAAAAGTTAATGACCCCCTAAATAAGGTTTTGTATTCATATCGAAAGAATATAAAAATGAATTAGTGCCCATTTTTCTAACTGACTTCCCTAGCTTGTAAATGAAGACATTTTGTTTTATCTTGTAAATACTTTGCATTCATCTACAGAATTTTTTTTATGAAGAATAGAAGAAAAGTAACATTTTGATTTACGTTGACAGTAACCATCAAAACAAAGTGTGAGTTGAGGAGTTACTTCTTAAGTAAGCTAATCTATTACACTAAGAATCTGTAGATCACCAACGTGGATGATCTGTGTCGAATTACTGGGAGCCTACTTGGGTTGGATGGGAATAGCATGACCAATCAGCTAACGTCCAAGTTATACTTCACGGTTAGTACCTAACATGGATGAACCTTTCGTCGTACCCAGGTAATATGGCTTTTGTGATGACCGTACAACAGAATCGACGTTATTACAGAAATATATTAATAAGAGTAAGTACAAGGAACAAACTGCGATCACAAACGCATAAGCCATTCCATGGCACGCAATTGTTGGTTGAGCAATGGTTGTCCTTGACCTTGACGAGGATCAGTAAACTGCCCGATATTCGATGATCTGACTGACAGATGATTTGGCAAGGGCCTCTAGACCTCTAGGAACAATAAGTTCCTAGACCTCTAGACCACTAACCTGGTATCCGACGGTATTAATGTTTATTAAGAGTTTATTTACAGTTGTATCTGAAATTTTTTAACAACAAATGTGTTTTTACTTTTAAAACTAGGATGATAAAAGGACGTATACATAATATAATATTCAACTAAGATTATCATTCCAGACCACGATAGTGTGATAAATTCATTTGTTTTAATTTACTTCCCCGTTCACTACTTAAAGTCACCTTTTTTGTGTGTTTCAGACGAAACCAGATAAATATCTAAAGTCTTCTAATATTGTTATTGTTCATGCAGAAGATTCGACTAGTAATTACAATGATATTTATCCACGATTTACTGAAAGTTTAATGCATGTAAGTCGATTATAATTTTGTTTGTTTAAACAGTTACTTTCCTCCACTAATTAAAAATACCTATATCCAACTATATATCATATCAGTATGGGGTTGTGGAAATTGTGCTAATTTATTGAAATCATGAATCTATTCAAGATAAACAACCGTTAAAAACATGGAAGCACATACATTAGAATTCTATTCATTAAAATATATAACTAATACCAGATGTAAATTATCAATTGTAGAACATTCTTACCATTACTTTTCAGTAACTTCAGTTGGTTAGTTAAAGGTTTAAAATATTTATTTTTGGTATTTAGGTAATTCAAAAATTTTAAATAAATCCTGTTATGCTTCAGCTTAAAAGTTGAGTAACTAAATCTGTAGGTAGTCAAAAGACGTAAATAAAGTCAAAAAACGTGATTCACCGAACTTCATGTAATCAAATTGATGATACCGTCCTTATCATATGAAATGAGTGTCCTGGGTTTCAAACCTGGAAAAATCCGTAAATCTATACCGTTGCGTAGTCTAACTTCAAAAGGCAGCAGTTTTCCACTAGGTTTCGATTCTGCTTTATATTTGTATGGACAGTTCAAATACGACAGAGTGTTTTCATTAAAACTAGAATGAAACTAGTTTATCGGTTTTTCGAAGAGTATCCTTTAGTTGCTGAATGACAAAGTTATTTGACAATATAATTCATTGTATCGTTCGACCCTTTTGGTCTGTGAATCCAACTCTATTCACTACCTTTGACATGTTATCTAAACCGTGCATTTGCTACACGTTTGTAACTAATTTACTCTTGGTTTTCATACGAATTACATGGCAAAGGTTAAATGTTCTGTTGTTCACGTATAGCTATTCTGATAACATGGTATCTTTCGAATTTACCACTCTTAAAGAGCACTAACATATTGAATTTACTCCTTCCATTCTTTTTACTCATATTTCAACTACTATTATCAATACAACTGTCGGCATAATAACTTGTTACACCATCAAAGAGTATACAACATTCTTACTTAAATTCTTCTATCTACACTAAAAACTACACTTTCAATTCCGTATCTTTTTCATTTGTGTTTGTTTTATGCTTAAAATTACTTTCTTGTTATTTGGTTAACATTTATGTAATTGACCCAGAAACCATCAGAGAGAAAGGAATATTATGCAGTATTGTACAAACTCTATCAAAATTTAAGAGCACTTATTTCATTAAAAGTTTAAAAAAAGATAAAGGAAATAATATAGAAGTCAAGTTTCCGAATAATAATGGTAATGAACTCAAACAACATACTCAAAGACGTGATTTCGTTGGTCAGTGATCAGTACAATAAATAGTTACGCCTACACAATGTAAAAAATAGTAATATCTTATAAAGGAATTCATACCTTCAACTGTTATCGTTTAACCACAAGGTCAAAGTATTTCCTTTTTGTTGGTTAAACTTATATGTTTGTGAAAGATGACAATATGATTCAGAAATAATTTATCTTTGAACTATATTATAACTGGTCAATCCAATATATTGTAACCAATCTCTATTAATCTCAGAGATTCTCTTTTAGACTATAAATTATTGTACATTCATGCTGAAAATTTGCTTGTGTACAAACATAAACTTTTATTAAGTAAAAATGTCTGATGGTTTATATGAACTGAAGATATCTGTGAGTATTCTTTACCAATAATTTATTTCACTTTTACAATCTGCACCATTGCATAGTTCAATAAACATAGAGATTTCATAAATGTGAAGTTTAGTGGTCAGATATATTTTAAAATTTCATTTTGTGTTAAAAAGAAAATAGATCAGAAGGGGTTTTGTGGAGATTTCAGTATTTTCATAGTTGAAATCGTGAGTCAATTGAAGCTAGACCACCATCGAAAACCCGGAAGCACTAGACGGCCATCTCGTCCTATTCTGAGACTCCTCAGCAGTGTGCATCCACGACCCCACACTAGCGAGATTCGAACCAAAGACCTAACAGTCTCGCGCTAGAGCACTTAATCGATAGACCACTGAGCCGTCCGGAATTCAACGGTGTTAATGTCTAACTTTAACCAATCCGCGAAGAGTCCCATAATAGAACGAAACGGCCGTCCGGTGCTTCCAGGTTTTCCATGGTGGTCTAGCTTCAATTGACTCATGATTTCAACTATGAAAAAGAAAATAATTAAAAATTGTTTATTACTTAAACCATTGTACGTGTTTACCACTTTTCCAATAACTGTTTATCCTAGTCATATAAAAATCACAACGTGGCTGATTCACCACAAATGAATAATAGAAAGCATATACAATTAGTTTATGCTAAACCATCGAAATTGAGAAGGGATATTATGGCACATAATAACAATGAAAAAGTGTCACCAGGTAAGTGAAATTTCTAGAATTATTATTTGATATTATTCATCAAGTTATTGACCGATGAGTATTTTCCTTTAAATTTCATATGAAATTTTTTGAAACTTTATCTTAATTTATTTCGATATGAAAATAATTCTACAATAAATCTAAGGTGAAACTGCGCCTGTAGCTCCTCCGGGGGCTACTGCCGATAAGTAAGTAAATCTAAGGTGTATTAGATACACTCTATCTTCCTAAGCACATAGCTTAAACTCAAATGAGTTAAATAACAATCCTAAATGGTGATAAATGCACCTTATCCAATTATGTTAGAATGTACGGCTTAAGTAGAGATAAGTGGTGGCTAGCACTGGAATCCATAATGTGCGTTTCATACAATTTGAGACTTGTCACCTGGGTGTACCTGCATCTAAGAGTTGAGTCACGGAGTGGACACCAGTGTTTGTGACTAAAGGTAATATCAAGGCAATCCTCACAGGATACATATATACCAAAAGAGACCGATCAATTCCAATTCTAAACATCAATGGGAATATCTAATCAACCAATATAATATTAGATGTACGGCTTTGGAAGTCCTAAAAATTCCTAATTTCACCTCGATTAAGATTGCAAGTGCTAGGTAGTAGGAAATTTAACAAAAAGAACTAGAGTGATACAACTATTTGTTCTTTTTATATCAATTAGATTGTTCACAGTGTTTATCTGACTTCTTTAATATATATTATTTATGTTGTCCAAGAAAATTGATGCCAATTTTATATTCAACTGTTTTATTTAAAGAAACACAAGGTCAGCTATCTAGTTGTTTTTTTAAAAAAAATTTAGTTACACTTTTCTTTTCATCCATAATGTTTGTTACTTTACTTATTATAATTGGCTTTATTGAGTATTATATTTTTGGTACAATATAGAATTCTCAGCACAATGTATTTCAACAAGTTTCCGTTTCTTATTTCATGGTCGATACTGACGATAAGTATTGAATGGTCGCAAGTTAGTTGTTAGCAGTCCAGTAAAATGTTCTTTTCGCCGCATATTGCCAGTAACCACGATATCTCTGATTTGACATTTTATAACTGAATGGATTATGCGATTAATAGCCATAATGATGGCTTTATTTAGACTCAGTAGTTCAATTGATACGGTGTCAGACGTTTGAAGTGAAAGTCATTTCGTCTGAATCTCAATAAGAACTTAAACTTTGGGATGAAAGTATATCAGGTTGATAAGTTTCAGATAAGACCAAAAGCTGATAGCTAATATCAACATTTTGTTAAAAAATAATATCCTAAAGAGTTGAAAGTTTAATGACAATGTTAAGTAGTTTTATTTTAAATTTTAAATTTTTAGCCATCTGATTTAAATTGTCCATCAGAAATATCTTCCATTTGTCTTACTATACATAATTTCTTAATAATTTCAGATCGTTTAAAGTTTACACGTAACTAAATGTGCCGAAATTAGACAGGTTTCAATCGATTGATCATTTTTGTAACTAATAATAAACTAAATATATTTTTTCTTCATCATATGTTATTCTTTTATTAATAGTGAAAATGAGAAATGCACCGGTAACTCATGCAGCACCTACAGGAACTAAAACAACATATTCTTTTAATGACCATTTCATAATTAAAAAACCTGATCTAAGTGAAATACCTGAACAAAAGCTTGCAATTTTATCTAATCAATTTGGTGAACTTAGTGATTCTGTGGAACGTGTTATTATTCGTATATTCGATTCAGCTGTAGTTCCAGGTGGTGCACTACGTGGTGTTGTTTATATATGTCTTAAAGAACCAATTAAATTGAATACTTTAACTGTTACCACAGAAATGATTACTAAAACAATATCTTCAGATGAGAAACAAGATATGGAGGTAAAATCTGCTAATGTTATTAAGACGTTTACCATAATTTATTGGCAAACATCTTTAATTTATTTTATCACTGAAATTAGGCATAGTAGATGGTATGTCTTTCGTTCTGCAACCAGTGTAACATATAAACAAAACAACTGTCAAGTAACTAACTGCATATAAATCTGGATAAATATAAGAGATGAGGATGAATTGGAAGTATTACTCGATTATCTGATCTATCATCTAAACCCAACTTAACACTTCTGGGTGGACTAGTTACGATAGAAATAATACGACTTAAAAACACAGAAATTACTCAGTACGTATGCTTTAATATTAATTTAGGATTGCTCGTAAAATGAAATGTTTATGCGGAAATCGTTACCTTGGAATGTTAGTTAAAACAAATTTCTTTGCTGAATGAAATTATAAGATGAACAGTCTCAATAAATATGGATAATATCGGGTGAGAGAAATGATCAGATTTAAGTGAACGAGAACACAAGTGAGGACAATCGAATGCATTTGAACACAAAATTACAGAATCTCTTAGAAAAATCTGAGAACCATACAGTAAATTCTTCATTTGCAAAATGTCAATCAATCGTCTCAGACTTGATTATTTGTTTGTTTTTACACCAATCATTCTATGTTCTCGTTCTCTTCTCTTCGGTCTTCTTAATCTTCTGTCTCCGAGCATTTCATTTTCAATTGATGATACATACATATTTGTCAACATCAGTAGCACACACCACAATATGATTACAAATGAGATCACACGTTAGTGCTTGCCTCATGATGCAATTTGGTGATTTCCTCTATGTATGCCCTATCCACTTCCAACGTTTTTTCCTAATTTCCTCCTCAGCTCAAAGCTGCTTTTTTATCCCCCACAGTAAACTGTTACTGATGGTATCCGGTTAACGAACATTCAGTATCTTACGTAGACAATTGTATATAAATACTTTTACAGTTTTCATGATGGTTGTAGTAGTTCTCCAAGTTTCAGCTCCGTACGGTAGGACTGTCTTGACGTTCATATTGAAGATTCTCACTTTGAAGTTAGTTGACAGTTGTTTTGAGTTCCATATGTTCTTCAATTGCAGAAATGCGGTCCTTGCTTTGTCAATCCTCGCCTTTACATCTGCATCAGATCCTCCTTGTTCATCGATGATGATGTCCAGGTAGGGACGTGAATGTTTCCACTTCTTTCAGAGTTTCTCCATCAAGTGTGATTTGATTGATGCTCTCTATGTTGTATTTAAGGGTCTTGCTTCTTCCTTTATGTATGTTTAGGCCTACTGATGCAGAGGCTAATGCTGCTACACTGGTTGTTGTGTGTGTTATAGAAGAGCCAGATCATCTGCGAAGTCCAAATCGTGTAGCTGTATCGAAGCTGTCCATTGTATTCCATTCTTTCCCTCTGATGTGGAGGTCGTCATAATTCAGTCAACCACCGGAAGAAAGAAAAAGTGTGAGAGTAAGCATCCTTAAGGTAACATGGAGGTTGGAGTTGGTCAACAGGAAACCCTGGACCCGGGTTTCGTGCTACTTGGCACTCGTCAGCAAGGTGTATCTGTAATCTTGAAGGAACTGATGCTTGACACGCATGAGATTGATCACCACCCAGTGATCAATCAATTGTGATTAGATCTCAGTCCTACAGGAGGTCGGTCGCGGCCCGAATAGCTTAGTGGCAGCGTCTCTGACTGTGAAGCTGAGTGACACGAGATCGAATCCGCCAAGGAGCATCAGTTCCCTCAAGATTACAGGTAGACCTTGCTGACGAGTGCCAAGTAGCACGAAACCCGGGTCCAGGGTTTCCTGTTGACCACTTCCAACCACCATGTTACCTTAATATATATAGTGCACGCATTGTCGAGCCACCTAGACTGGTGGCCACATTGCAACTTGATCGATAGCATTCGATCAGCACTAAGGACTTGACACGCATGAGATTGATCACCACCCAGTGATCAATCAATTGTGAGTAAGCAGCCTTGTCTGACTTTCATCCTTACTTGGAATGCATCCATCAGCTTTCCTCCATACACGCCTTTACAGTGTGATCAGTCGTATGAATTCCGTATGATGTTGACGATTTTCTTAGCTATTCGCATCATAGTGTCGAAGACGTTTCCATAATGTCCTCCAATCCACACTGTCAAATGCTTCCTCATATTGAAAGAAGGTAATGTACAGTGGCGAGTTTCGCCCAACCGACTGTTCAACGATGATCCGTAGTGCCGCAATTCGGCCTGTGAACGACCGATCCTCACGGAATCCGGCCTGTTGATCTCAAAGCTGGGTGTCTACTGAATCTTTTATCCTATTCAACAACATTCCGTTAAAAACTTTTCTTGTTACCGATAGGAGCGTGAAGTCCCTGTAATTCTAAGACTTGCTCAAATCTCCTTTCTCTGATGTCTTGATGAGATATCCGTCTTTTCAGCCTGTCGGCCCTCATCCCTCTTCCCAAATCTTCCTGGAGAGGATGTGGAACACGTTTGCTCTTACCCATCTGTCTGACTTCAGTGCTTTAGCTGGCTTGTTATCTGGTCCCGCTGTTTTCCCATTCTTGATATAGGTGACAGCCATCCTGACTTCTTCGATCTTTTATAAGGTGACATCGATAGAAAGGTCTGTAGGTGTTGCTCCTTTGTCCAGTATGTTTAATGGGTCCAGTCGACTCATGAACTATTAGAAGTCTCCTACCGACCTGTTTTCTTGTTCTAAAACTTCAGTGATTGGTTTCCTTTTTTTGTTCTTGACTAGTAGCTACGGCTCACCATGTTTTCCTGCTAGCTTCTTCGTTACATCGTATAGTTGTCCAATATTTCCTTCTCTTACAGCTATTTCCACTGTCGTTGCTGGGTCTTCCACGTATTTCTGATTGTCAAGTCTAATTCTGTTCACCACTTGCTTGTTTGCTTCTGCGTATTCAGCTTACGCCTTGAATTTCTCTGTTCTTGTTTGACTGTTTTTAATTCCTATCTTTTTTTTCTTCATCCTTTGTTGAATCCAAAGCAGGGTTTCTATAGAGATGTATTTCTTATGATGATGCTTTTTACGACCCAAAGCCTCCTGAAACTTTGAAGTTAATTCTTCTTGGATACGTTTCAAGTTGCTTCCCACAGTAGTTTCTTCTTCTTTCAATAGATCCTTTAAGGCTTGGAAGCCGTTGTTGAGAGTTATCTTGAATTAGTCAGTATATCGAATGAAGGCTGCATTGAACATTTGTACCGCTGTTCCTTCAGTTGTCCAATATTTCTTTAGCTTCAGTTTCATCTTGGCCACAACCAGGCGGTGATGTGAAGCTATATCAGCTCCTCTCCTGGTTCTCACATCTTCCATTGTCTTTCTGAATTTCTTATTGATACAGATATGATCTATCCGATGAGATCCATATTGTTTTGTGCATGCGTTTGTGTGTGAATATCGGGCCGCCTATGACTATTTTGTTGAATGCACACAAGTATGCAAATATCTCAACATTCTCATTCCTTTCTCCCAGTCCATGTTGTCTCATGATAACCTTATACCTGGTGTTGTCAATTCCGACTTTGGTGTTTAGATCTCCCATCAGGATGGTGAGGTCCTTTCCTGCGCACTTAGCTATGATTGATTGAATTCTCTCGTAAAACTTATCTTTATTGCCGTCATTGTCAACATTGATGGGTGCATAACACTGGATAAAATTCGTCGTGATTCTTTTCTTCTTTGTTTTGAATGATGCTTTGATGATCCTGGATTCATGGGATTCTAACCTATAAGTGCACATTATGCTTCTTTAGATAGCATCAGAGCAACTCCCGGAGTGTGTGTAGTATTTTCATTTTCGTGACCAGAGTAGAGCAGCATCTCTCCCAAATCTACCCTTTGCTGTCCATCTTGAGTCCAATGTGTTTCATTGATTCCGAGCACCGTCAAGTTGTATCTCCTCATTTTCGTTGCTGTTTAACTGGTCTTCCAGGTCTCCCACATTGTCCATAAATTCCACGTATCCATATTAATTGTTGCTTTGGTTGTTCTATTGGGTATTGGCCTCGTAGCTTCCGAATAACTTCGGCTTCCATGAAGAGCTGCAGGCGGACTTAAGGAATAATAAATTGCAGTGATTGCTAACTTAATCATTTATGTGTTTGTATGACAACTGATTATTTCAACAACATGATACAAAGATATATGAATAGTATTAAAAATAGCAATAATATGTGAATAAGTTTTAGTTATGAAAACACAAAAGAGGATGACTGTATATACATTAATCGTACTACGTCATCCTATAATTGAGATGACTACTGGCTTATTGATCCTGAGGCTGGAAAACTTAAGAGAATTGATTAAACACATTTCTATTTCGTACAAAGATCCTTTTTTATTCCGAATGAATAATACTTTTGCCGCTTATGGAAGTTTGAGTATGAAAGACTTTGGAAAAATTACTAATCCAATAAACTCCTGAGAATGATTGGTTTATACTATTCCCTACGAACAGTTCGAATTAAATGGACATGTATTTAACTATTTAATATCTTAACTACACCTTTGCTTAACCACCCTGGAAGTTATCCACAATTCCTATAATTTCGGCCGATCTTATTCACTATGTAGTTGATGAAATTCGCTCTTAGGATGTCTATATCAATACTATATTAATCAAAGAAACAGTTAATATAAGCTTCCTGCAGTTCATCCAAGTGTAAACCAGAAATGAATTATTTTCTTTTTAAGAATCATGATAAGTTTTCCTATTGTATTATTTTCATATAATTTATCAAATTAGGATTTCTATACCTTTTACCAAAACGCTGATAAGTATAATAAGTAAACTATTCACATTATGTGATAAAATTAAATCTAGCCATGGTATGAAATTCATCAAATAGACTCCATTTATGGAATGTATTATAAGGTGATTTTTATAAAGTAACATTCTATAACGACGTGTTTTATGTAGATTAGAATAATGAACAAACTATCGCTGGAAATTTGTCTACTAGTGTGTAATATTATTAAAGAGATCTTGTTAATTGAATTATGAGAGCACGAAATCAGATGTCACTGAGTTTCTAAGTTAACTTTCTAATCAGGCATAAATTTTCACTCATGGTAGCAGCTAAATCCCATTACTAAGAATAAATTGCATTTCAATATCAAACTGAACACCTTCAAATGTATATTTAAGTAACATGAGCATACAGTACATGGAATAATGCGGCATCTGCAGCTTGTGTTTAAAACAGTCGAACAATTTATCGTCATTCAAATATATTTTGCTTAAAATCATTCATCAAATGTGTTTACATGATTCATTAAACTTTTATGCTCACCTAACTCGACCTTCCTATATTTATTATTTTAGAAACGAATACCTATATCATATACTGTTTTGACAGACGACCCATCACTTGGTAAAAGAATGCCTATACGTAAATTTACTTGTCAAGAACCAGAATTTATTCAGTCACCAGTTAAAGAAGTTAATCTTAGTGATCCATGTTTCTCACCATATATTGGACCTGTCCAACTTGCTCCAGGTGATCATGCAATTCCTTTTGCGTTTCCTCTTGAAAGTGATGCACATCCATCAATATTACTGAAGGGTAAAGTTGGTTTTAAACATGAGGTGGAAATTATTCATAGGTAAGATTAATTTTTCCCAGTCAAATTATCAAGCTGTTCTATAAGCTGTCATGATTATATTTCTATTGGGTATGTTTAATTTATTAAATATTGAGTTATTACTGGTAAAAGTGAACTGCCATATCAAACAACCGTTATGTAATTCAGATATACTTTAAATAATAACTTCATTTTGAAAATAACGGGAACTTAGCTCTCCACATAAAACGACTACTCTTGTGGTGAACAAGAACACGAGTGGGGACAATAGAATGTATTGGTAAAAAATTACAGAATATCTCACTAAAATCTGACAACAATACAAACTATTAATCAATAGTTTCAATCTTGGCTGTTCCTTCTGTAAATATCCGTCCATCGTCTCTGATTGTTATTGTTCATGCATTTACATACCCGTTCCCGTTCTCTCCTTATCGATCTTCTACTGAAATACGTTCAGTACCCGACCATCGTTATAAACTACTTATGTGGATATAAGTAGCCCACACCACACTCTTAGTTTCGTAGACGACGCTTTATTTCATTTATTAATTATTTTGAACAAAATCAATAATTTTCCTTTGTATATATTTGAGTGAGATATCTAATAGGCTAGCCATAATCTATTTATTAGAAAATGTTCTGTATGTACGGAGTATAAAGAACGATCAACTGATAACGTTATGTTCACTAAACCATATCATTTAATTGCTAAGCTCTACTACCATACTGTGGTGGACGCTACTCACAGGATTGTTTAAAAGTAGTATGCAGTGGAAAGTGGTGTCAAAGTTGCAACAATTTTCAGACGAAGTGAGCAGTTTCAATACATTGAAAGCTCGGTCTTGATAGAACACTTAGGAACCAGACGAGAAAATAGTTTAGATGGTAGAACATACCTAAAGATGCAAATGAACGATTGAAGGCTGTGAATACATATTATGTAAATACTTAGACATTATTATCATGACCTACATCATCAAACATGTATATATGCACGTTTGATAAGGTAGGAAGAGCTTTTATTATTCATCAAGTTATGAAAACAATGTAGTCAGACAAGCGTCAGTTAGTAACATTTACGAATGGTTGCCATTATGGTCTGTTGCATTTATCTGTGCTCTAATTTTACGTGGTTATGGGAAGTTTTTGGTTTATTGTCTTCAAGTAAACAGTCGTAAACGAGGATTTGTTGCGATATGAAATTGATTTCAAGATAGTCAAATGTGATTGTGAAGACAATGAGCTTAACTGGTTCGCTCAATTTTCGCGTTACTGGGTTATTAGTTTTGAAAGTTTTTAGTCAAAATCCCCAAAATACTTTTAAAAACCAATATTTTATGAAAGACTGATTCATCAAATTCTATGATTTATTTATTCTTATTGAGAGTCAAACTTGAGGACTTCATATTAAACTCCGAACATGTTAAACAGTGAACCAAAAGACTATGATAATTAATCTAAAGAAAAAATGTTTCAAATAAAGAAACTTTCTTATCACTGGTTTACACTAGTTAGTTGACCAAATGAGATGGTTCCAGTTAATTAGAGATGAAATGTTGTCAGTTCATCCAGGCACATGTTCTAAGCTTACAGAATTTCAGTTAGATCCTCATCAGGCTTTACCCTAATATGCAGTAATATTTTTATGTATATATGAAATTACTTATTATGTTTATTTATGTAATCTATTCCACTGTTAACACTGACTCATAAACTGCCTAGATTGGTTTAGTAATCTTCTATATACTGTATATTGTATATTAAAGTTTAATGAGAATGTAAATGATAAATAATTTGACTGAACTCTTGAATCGGTTTCTCAAGATCTACTAATAACTCCAGGCTTCATCTACACAACAACTTCAACAATATAGAAAAGATGCGAAATATGGAAAGAACGTTTTACTGTAAGTTTTATTTATGTACAGAGAATTCAAGGTATTAATAGTAGTTTAGATGGCTTTCAGCTTCCGGAAGGTTCTGGAACCCTTTTAAACATAGAAGCAGGAAAAGCAACTATCCAGTCAGAAATGTGGCACATGACTCTTCATTTTCTAGATGTTTCTGAAAAACTTCTACTCAAGGCTGATTAGATAAAATGTATCATAGAGTTTTTATGATCCTTTCGGGTTTCTTTCGACAAATTTCCTGGGTCTCTCCAACACTAATTAAAAGCAATATCGTTCACTTAAATATGTTGTTTTAATTCACAATATGGGAATTCCTGAGATTTTTAAGAATTTCGCCCTTACTGTTTACTGTTATTTTTTCATTAATTTTTGTGCATTAGATATTATGTCTATGCATCAATGAGATTGAGTCGACCAGATGAAAATAATTCAGTAACAATTAGTACAGACAATTTAAATATCAAAGTTCTTAGTTGTGGTCCACCGAATTATACACTTCCAAATGGTGAACGAATACCAGCTATCATGAAAACATTTACGATGGAAAATAGACAAATGTTAATACAGGTATAATTTGTAAACATAGTTTTTTATTATCATTATTATTATTCGATAAATTTTTTTATCAGACAAAACCTTTTTCACTTATTTCTGATGTAATAGTTGAGAACATGAGTCAATTAAAACTAGACCACCATGGAAAACCTGAAAGTATTAAACGGCAGGTTTGTCCGATTGCAGGACTCCTCAGAAGCGTGCATCCAAGATCTCACCTCACAGGATTCCAGCCCACGACCTATCGGTCGTTCTGTTATTCATAATCATTGAAATAATATGACTATCTATGAAATTTTCGCAAATTCTCAACCGAATTGGTATTTTTTTAAACGAAATTATGGTTTATTAGATACTACCTTAGTGAATACTACTAACCATAAATTTAAATTTATTTACTATTATTTTATTTTATTATTAATGGCTTCATTTAATATTATATTTTTGGTACAATACAGAATTCTCACCACAAAGTATTTCAACAAGTTTCATTTCCTTATTTCTTGATTGATCCTGACGATAAATATTAAGCGATCGCCAGTTAGATGTTAGCAGTTCAGGAATCCACATCTTAATAATGTTCATCATTTTCAATGAATATTGTCAGCCACCACAATATCTTTGATTATACTTTTTTGTAACTTGTACAGCGAAATGTCGTAAACGTTTCATAAACGCACCGGAATCAATTATGAAATTAATAGACATAATGATATATTGAAACAAATGAAAACAGGCAATTTATTGAAATATCTGGATGGCAGGAACAGGTAGCCCAGATATTTGAGGCGACAAGTCTAATCAAAATCATATTGACGATTCAAATCAGTTTATATACAGTAAAAGATACTGAACGAATCATATCTATCGAAATCTTTGAGTATCAGTATCACTACCATATCTAACAACTATCACATGATGAATTCGATGAACAGAATTCGACAGTTGTGATATAACATTTCTTTTGTTTGTTATTTGAATTAGATTTTGATAATATTCTTCAAAATGTACAATGAAAAAACATCATAAGCAAACCTTCCAGGTGAAATATAATGTAATAACATCGAAAAGAATCTATTTAGATTACAAGTTTTCTATTCCATTAATTTCAGTTATAATCTTAATTGTAACATATGGAATAAATAACATATGTACTATCTCTATTGTAACTTATTTAGCCAATTTCAAATAATTCATATATTATTAAATACGTTTAATGATAAGTAAAATATAAAACCATTCAGTTATGTATGATTTATGCACACAATTATTTACAACAATCTGAATGAGAGAGAGATATATATGCCAGTTACTCCTAATGGAGAATAGGCCACCGACTAGCATTCTCCAACTCACTCTATCATGGGCCTTCCTTTCTTGTTCTATCCAATGATTGTTCATTATTCTCATATTTGTCTTCATTTCTCGACGTAATGTGTTCTTTGGTCTTCCTCTTCTCATTCGGCCTTAAGGATATCATGTTAGGGCTTGCCTTGTTAGGTAATTTTCTCAATGTGTGGCCTATGCACTCCCAGCTCTTCTTCCTGATTTCTTCTTCCGCTGGAATCTAGTTTGTTCTCTCCCACAGTAGGTTGTTTCTGATAGTGCCTGATCAACGGACCCGAAGTATCTTGCGTAGACAACTGTTAATAAACACCTGTATCTTCTGGATGATGGCTTTCATAGTTCTCCACTTCTTCGCCCCATACAGTAGGACTGTCTTGACATTTGTATTAAAAATTGTGACTTTGGTTTTAGTTGACAATTGTTTTGAATTCCAGATGTTCTTCAGTTGTAAATATACTGCTCTTGCTTTGCCGATCCACGTCTTCATATCTGCATCAGATCCACTGTGTTCATCAATGATGCCACCCACAACGATTTGAATACTTTTAGTTATTTATCTTTACTAAAACTAATCAGTTTTTACATATTATTACAACCCCAATTGATATTCAATCTGTATTCTTTTTGATAATTTACATATGATCACTTTTCTAATATTTCCCTAGTATCATTCTATAAATTTTACCACAGTTTAGTAAATTTTCTAAATTGTTATTAAACGAATTTCAAATAAAAACACATAAGAATATGCTTTAATTCATAACCCTAATATACAAACTTCAGAAATTCAGAAATAGGGAATAAGATGTTACAAAAGCATTCATATTTTCTAAAAAAACATTGACTGATCATTTAAGAAAATATCAAAATTTGAAAGATACGGCGTAGTTATCAGTATGGGGACTTTTGGAGCTTGTAGTATTTTAACAGTTAGATTCACGGGTAGATCTAAGTTAGATCACCATTGAAAACCTAGAGGTAGAGGAGTCCCATAGTTGTGATAAATGGTCGTTCAGTCCTTTTAATTTTTCACTGATGGTCCAGCTTAAATTGACTCCTGAATTCATCTGCTTTCTAAAATTATCGTCGAGAACTTTAGCAGTCTCTTCATCTTTCATGAGATTATTTTAAAAAACTATTAAATGAAGTCAATTTCGTTAAGCATTTGACTGTTTTATTTGGCTGATTAATTTTAACAAAATACAATTTTTAAATTTTTATTTTCAACTTCAGGTTGAAAATTTAATCTTTCAAGAGGCTGATGATATTAATATTTATTTATTTACGGATGAACCAGCTGGCATACGTTATGTTGAAGCTTATTTACTTCGTATATTTCATATACCTGGATTAAAAGTTTCTGATACGAAAGCATTACATAAATTGAAAAAGTATCCTCCCAATGTTTTTATTGATGGTCGTACAGAAAAAGTTACTTTTACTGAAAATCTACCCTTACCATACTCCGAAACAGCTGAAACTGAAAGTGGACGATTATTTTCCAATTCACAATATTTACCAAGTCATTATCGTGATTTTCGTGTATCATGTGAATCTTTAAACTCAACAGAACAATCACAAAGAACATTACATTGTGATTCGTATAAGGACTTACCTAGAGATGCACGTAAAGCCGGTTGCCATTTAACTTTAAACGTACCAATCAATTCTGTTCCACAAAGCTGCTTAGAATCATTGAAGATAACTTATTATATTAGGGTAGGTTAATTGAAAGTAATCAAGTCATGTGACTATAATGTCATAATTTTACTTTGATTATTACACTTTGTCAGTTATTTTGTAAATGTAAGGTATAGACTTTTACTTAATTTACTCATACATAAAGAACTAAACTGTTTAATTTCATGTTTTCCAAGGAAAATAGAAATTTTTTTATATTTTACCATGTTATTTTCAAAAAATAACCTTGACTAAATAGGTATGTTTAAGTAACTTGGTAAACCCAATAATATGTAAAACAATCAGAGATGCGAATGATTTTGGTTTAGAATCATTTTTATATAGAATTCATAGAGTATAATTAGCAATGAAATTCAGGATGTGCATTTCGTCCCATTTGGGAATCGTCAGCTGGAAGGATCGTCATTAGAATTGATGTTCATTCCGAAATTTGAACCCATCACCTTTTGTTTAGAAAGCCGATGCTTCATCCAATAAGATGCGGAATTCAGATAAACAATTGCCTGTTCAACATCACTTTGTTGGTTCCAGTAGTTTAGGGGCAACAGAAATCTGGAAAAATAGTTAAAGCACTTGTTAAACCATTTTGAATATAATGAACTGTTTTACTACTAGATTATTTTCACAGTCGAAGTCACGAGTCGATCTAAACTAGACCATCACTGGGAATTTGGAAGCACTGGATGACCATTTCGTTCTAGTACGGAACTCTTCTGCAGCGCACATCCACGATTCCACACCCACGACTCGGGACCTTCGGTCTCATACGCGAATGCTTAACCTCTCGACCACTGAGTCAGCATCCAACGGTGTTTATGTCCATCTTCAATCATCTCACGATCTTGCGAAACCCTTCATACATTGTCTGAGGTTGACAACAGTCTCACAACTGACACGGTCTGGACTCCGCTGATTTCAGCTTCTCACTAGAACCACATGTGATCCAGTAGTTAGGCGTTTGCGTAAGAGACCGAAGTTATCGGGTTTGAGTCCTGTGTGGTGGTTCGCGAATAAGCAGTGCAAAGAAGTCTCATGTTAAAAAATGCCATCTATTGCCTCCAGGTTTTCAGTGGTGGTCGACCTTAAATCGACTCGTGATTTCAATTACAAAAATTCTATAATTTCCACAAATCGTCATACTGATATTAGATTATTGACAAAAGACACTCCTATTACTTACATTTGATAAGTTTAGCTGGCAAGAAAATTGACAATATGTGATACTATCGTTGCTAATTGATTTAATTTAAGCTACCAATAAATTAATCAGACAGTAAATATTCATTTTCTTTGAATTAGACAATCTGTACTAATTATCCTAACTGATTCTTTTCTGTCTTCGTACTGTGTCTATTTTTCATGCTAATTTCTGATTACTTTTTATCAGCTGAACAATGGTAAACATCTGATCTCATTTATTCAACATTATAATAATTACCTTGGTATTATTTTGTAAATGACATCAACTGATTATCATTAGCTAAATCTATCCTAATTAAACCATGAATTTGGTTTATGTTAGTTTTTTATTATGTAGTACAACTTAAAAATATACTTAGAACCATCTGTGATATTGTTATAGTTAGAGATTCTAATTGATATCATGTGCTATATTATACAATGAGGGTTCCGACTACCTAATAAACTATCTATACGGTCACTGGGACTAGTGACTATAATTTATGAACAGACCAATCAGATTTAGGATAACAGGTTTTGATTTTGGTGCGAAATTCTTAAATTCACTTGGCTAAATAGCGTTTTGGCATTTTATCCGATGTCAGTTCGTGATGAAAAAATTAAATATAACTCCTAAACTTGATCACTGACCGTAAATCATAATCTTTATTCGTCAGTTAGCTTTATAACCCTCATTTAACCCTAGAAGATAGGTGTGCATTCACAAGATCACATTAGCATCGCTCATAAATTATAGTCTCATTGAATTTTCTTATTTTATCCATAAAAATAATCATCTTCTGTTGTACCTTACATTTTTCAGGTTCTTATACATGGTAAACGTAAAGTGATGGCTTATAGTTTACCAATATCAGTAGTTGAACAACGTTCTAAAGATTATAAAATGCGTTATTTGGGTGAAGGTAATCATATATATGATCCGGAATATTTAAAATTAAAACGTGACAGTAAATGTTCAGTTTCATAACACTTGGATACAAACAAATCTACTAATGTAATACGATCCAATTTTTTTTTGAAAAAATTAGTAAATTTATCAACTATTAGTTGCAACTTTTACACCCCTTTTTTTTCTAGGAGGAAAACGGAGAGAGAAAATCAATGTTAGATTCTTTTTTCTTCTTTTCTTTTCTTTTATTGTCTTGAATTGGTGTTTGTCATCTACGGTATTGTTACATTGTTCATTTTGTTTTATTATTATTCTTTGATTTGGTTAGTTGGTTTGATTTTTTTTTGTTTCATCTACTTAGTTAACTAAGTTTTTTTTGCTAATAATAATAATCATTCATGTATTCTTTATCATTATTTTATCGAATTCCTGATAAAAATATGTTATAAAAAGAGTGAATAATTTTCATTCATTGAAGTTAATTATCAGTTAATTCTTTTAATCAATAATTGATTATCAGAAGGGGGGTTTTGTGGAGATTTTAGTAATTTTATATAGTTGAGATCATGAGTTAATTGAAGCTAGACCACCATGGAAAACCTGAAAGCACTGGATGGCCGTTTCGTCCTATTGTGGGGATGATTCCTCAGCAGTGCACATCCACGATCCTACCTCGCGAGATTCCAACCCAGGACCTACCAGTCTCGCGCCAGAACACTTAACCAAGAGACCACTGAGACGGCCGGCATCCAACGGTGTTGATGTCTAACTTCAACCGATCCGCGAAATTGAGCGGCATATCCACCATTGTCTTCAGTGAGTTGATATCTCACAACAGACCTGGTTGAATTCGACTGGTTACTGCTTCTCGCTAGAACTCCAGGAAAAATCTCTTGAAGTCAGTCACTAGTGAGCAAATGACCATTATCGGAAGGGGGTTTTGTGGAGATTTTAGTAATTTTATAGTTGTATTGTTTCTAAAAGTATATGAAAATCATGCATGTAATATATAATTAACAGGTACTATGTAAATACTGTTGAATTAACGAAGAATATCATTGTCAATGAATTCTCACCAAGTTCTATAGGAATACATCTAAATTAATGATCAAATTAAAACTCAAATACCTCCTTTAAATTCATAGCTTATAAGTTAAAAACAATTTCTTAAGCAAAATATTCGTAAAACTGTCTACCAAAATTAATCAAGCTGAGGGGTTGTCAAACAAAATAAAGCAATAAGTATTCCGAAATGGTAAATAGAATTTGTAGCTCAGGAAGACGATTAGACTAAATTTGTTTTCTCTAAGCTAAGTAGTTTAAACGTTAGACTTCCATTGTTCTCCTAGATAAAATCATCAGCACAAAGTCCATAGAGGAGTGAACTAATCAAATCTTTTCACGTATGACTAACAGCTTATTCTAATAACCGGGTGTTGTTGGGATTTGTCTTCTAGATGTATATTTCATTTAACTGTCTACTCTTTTGATCTGATTTTCATCTCCATGGATGTTCTTGATTTTACTAACTGGTTGTTAAACTAGATCAATTTATATGTTTATTGATTGCTGATTCACTTGAGTTCTAAATGTCTAGAAATTCCTAGACGTTCTTTATGTTACCTGTGTCTATGATCTAAAAATCCTACCAGTTGAGCATTTTTTCATGACTAACTACGTGCATTGATTTAAGCGAAAATAGGCCGTTGCGTCTGGCAGCTAGTTGTTATTCAAGTAAATCAAGATCAAGAGGGATATACTGTTTCTCACACATGGTGTTTTATTGTCTAAGTGATGTTTGACTCTCACTTTTCTGCCATTCCATGTTTTAGTTTGGATAAGAGAAACTGAAATAATTTTGCTGTCTTACTACAATCAACTCCAACAATCCGGTTGTAATCTTCAGTCTATCTTTCACGTATGTGAGGATAATCCTTTCTCTGATGACGAGACTATAATTTATGAAGGAGCCAATCAGAGGCATTTGAGGGATTTCAAAGTCACAGCGCTAATTTCAGTATATGATGCTCATGTACAATCAGTTAACAGAGGATTTTAGAGAAGATGCGACAATTAAGTGGCTACAATAAATGGGACTACTAAGAAGTTCCTTTATTTGTAATTGCGGTAATCAATTGGCTTGTAGACCTTGTGCAGACTACCCTGATGATGTTATCTTTCGATGTAATGTATGTTAGAAGAAGAAGTCTGCTAAAATAGGAACTATTTCTCTCCATCCAGATTGAGACTAGGGCAAATTATAGCAATTGCTGCGAACTGTATAATAAAAGTACCAGTATTATTGATTGCAATATTCGCAGATGTTATTGAAGCTTCGGCTGTTCAGAGGTGTGAGTGTTGTAGAGATATATGCGTAATAAAAAGGAAAAACTTACACAACCGAAGTACATGCAAACAATATTGAAGCTATCTGGTTGAGGCTGAGAGAGCTTTTGTGACTTTATCAGGGCTCCAAAGACTGACTATTATGAAGCCATATGGATGAGTTCCTTTACCTTATGCATTACGATTTTAGAACCTTTGAACCTCTTTCTAACCATGACAATTTTCTAGACTATGTGAAAGAAGTGTATCCACTTTAATTCTTTGTTTTGTATAATATTTTTTACTCTATACTCTCTGTATACTGATTGGCTAATATTTCCCAACGTCACTGGAGATGCGTTCACAAATTATAGTCTCGCCAGTGAACATCAACTCTGGGATTCAGATACATCCAGTTGACGAGTTTCGAATAGGACGAAATGTGAGTCCTGAATCCCACTGCTAGCCACCATCCATCTTTGCTTATAATGTTTGTAACTTAAGTCAGCATAGAAGTAATCCGAACAGGATGCACATACGACAATAAGAGACTGATCAATTACAATCTTAAGCATCAATGAGAAGATTCAAACAACAAATACAAAAATGAATTGTAAAATGACTTAATTTAACTAATGTACATGTAATATTCCCTTTTGTTTTATTGTGCTTCAGATATCGTTACTATTGTCATTTCTTTCTATTGCTATTATTATCATTAGTCATCTTCTTAACATACGGATAATTTGGTCAGTACTCACCACATTTTATTATTTCTTACTGACTTCAAGTTACTTCACACACTACGTGACCTAAGACCAAATATGTGACCTGGTTTGTATTAATATGACTAATTCTCTCACTCTATATTATCTATATTCATTCAGATTATTTATCTTATAACTTTATTAAGCAAATAAATTTGTTTTAATTGACATTCCAAGCTAATTATTTCATCATTGACAATCTCATCAAAAAGAGAATTTTTTTCTTTGGTGAATTCTGCTTTTATTTATATCAAGATTCCATTCCATTTTAAAAGAATTCTATACATAAGTTCAGAAGATATGTTTATCTAAAACTTGGTAACGTAGATCATTAATTTGGATGTTGTTGTTTATGCAATTGAGAGAACGAAAAGCGAATGTCCGGTGCTTTAACCGGGTTGGTGGGCACGGAAAGTCCACCTAGGGGAGTTGGAAAACCATGATTCCAAACCAATGGTGCACATGGGCTCCTATAAAGTGTTTCAGGGTGCCCATATTACTAGTAATAAACAAATGATTTTAAATTTATAACAAATATTTTTGAGTATTCAAATTCAACCTCTCGAATATATAATTATGATAAATTTTCTGAATGTTATAATTTATTTGCTAAATACATGGGGATATTGAAGTATAAGATTACTTGCTATGTCTTTAGTATACACCTTCATAACTTCTCTTTAAGAAGTGAACAATAATGGTTACCTGCAGAGAATACAGTATTATGTTTAAAAAACTTTAATAAGATGGAAAATTCTGCTCATAAATTCGGAATATTACACACCATCTTCTTAACAAGACCAGTTCTGTTCAATCATGTGTTTACACACAAAAATAAGTTCAGACTTCAGATAATCACAATAAGCTGAATTGTGTCCTATAGCCGAGTCGAATAAAAAGATGGAACTGAAATTCAAGTATTTGGAGGGCAGTATGTTCTTTACACAAATATTTGTGTTGTAAAATAAAATATCTTTCCAAGTTGTACTTATTCTGAACTGAGACTAAAATTTGTTACAGTAGAGATGAAATTTTGCAACTTTCACACGGTGTACGACAATATTGTAAATAAACTGAACACTACTTTTTAATAGTAAGTAGTAAAACATAATCACATAAATTAATCCACTGTTTGTCCTTGTCTCGTAAATCATTGTCATTAATCATTAATCAGAACCTATAAGTTTTCTGTGACAAGCGATTCATAACTGACTAGTTTCGACGAATGCATGGTTCACATTTTATATTTATCGTTATTATATGAGAGAAATATCACATTATCAGATGTAAACAGGTTTTCTGAAGAAACTATTCAAATAGATGTACTTCAATACAAAATAACTGTAATGTTTATAATGAGGTATCAGTTATGAAATATAGGTTGTCTATGATTTCTAAATTACTAGTTGAATATAAGATAGGTTTAAAAGCCATTAATGATCAATGGGATTGACAGTGAGGAATTAGCTGTTTTCTCTGTCTAACTAATGATATTTTAGTTATTACTAAAGATACTATTCATTTAATTCATTCATTTATTAACAATGAAAGTAACTGAATAGTATCCAGAATCGTACAATTGCCTTTAAAATTGATTTGGTCATAATTCATCAGTATTAATATTCTGTTTGACAGTAATAAAATATTTAGCTAAATCGATTGTTTCAGCTATCTTGAAATTTTCGCACAAGCCACAATGGGTTGATGTTAAGCGAAATATCGGCCTTGATAAGAAAATTTCCTTCTACTTCTTATCGCTTCAAACCGTCAGCAAACATGTTTTGAAAATAATTGTATGATAAAATGAAAGCATATTATGGTCTGTATTATTTTTATTAACAGGGAAAATGACGAAAATGGATGGTGGCTAGCAGTGGAATCCAAAGCATGTTTCTCGCCCTCTTTGAGACTCGTCAGCTATGTGAACCTGCATCCTATGGTTGACATCCACCCTACGGACTCGGACAAAGTACCGTTTGCTTCAAACGTCATCTCGTTCGCTAATTAGCTACTCCGTTGTCGGCATAGGGTGCACATGTGCCAGTAATAGACTAATCACTTGCAGCCCTAAACATCAATGAGAAGATTCAAACAAACAATTCAAAATGAATTTGAGGGAAATAAACTTTGAAGACACGAACGTGCACAGGTTGCTGATGGATAGTTACAAATGTAGTTGAACTGAAGGATAATTTTGAGTTTAAGAACGAAAGCAAAGATATTAAATCGGTTTGCGATTACATGAGCACTTACTGGATAGAGATTGCGATGTATTTTACATATGACTAGTTACCGCTTACTTTAATGTCTTATGCTAGCAGGCATGTGAGTAAATTGTATGCAAACGAGAAATGGTTAGGTCAGGCGTTAAAGTATTTGATCGATGATTTGAGTTAACCAGGAGATTCACTCAATGTAACTAAGGTCCATGAGATATATGGTTAGAATCGTTGTTCATCAACAAAGTGATGCAAGTACTTCCATATTTTCTTATTGAAATATTAAGCCAATCGCTAATCCAAAATTTATATTCATTGACTTCACTAGTTTCGTTTTAAGTATGTATTTCTTATTTTTGTTTTTTAGCTGTGTCAACGCAGTTACTTATGCTATTTTTCTTTGATTTATTTCGCCCAAACAGTAGTGACATATATCTTGAAAACTACACTTATTCCATTGTCAACTTAATCCACAACTGCTTGTTTGATGCAATCACTGTATCAGATAATTTCGTATTATAAATCGCTTGCATAGACGTATTCATGTAGGGTGCTGGTTAGAAGTAGCCAACAGGAAACTCCGTTTGATCTAGGTTGCGTGCTATTTGATACTCGCCAGCATGATGTACCTGTAATACTGAGGGAACTGATGGTCTCTGGCGGATTCAGTCCCGTGTCACCCAAATTCCCAGTCGGAGACATTATCAATAGTCTATCTGAGTCACAACTGACGTCCTGTGAAACTGAGATGCAATTACAAGAGATTGATCAATGGGTAGTGATTTGCAGTAAGAAGGACATGGAGTATACGAAATTGGTCAGTACTCAGTGATCAATCAGATGTAAAGAGTCCTCATGTAGTAAGTAGATGTTACCATTGACTAATATGTGGAAATAACTTGATAGACACATGTCTATATATATATATATATATATATCAGTCAGTCAGCTACAACGTAGGACCAGGCAAATTTATGCATCGGTCTCAGTTACCATACCTCGTTAACACAACAAGATCAACACCAAATTCATAGAATTAATTTAGTGGTGGTAGTATATAAAAGATAGGTTGTATATAAGGATATAGTATAGAAAGGAAGAAAGTTATGAAGCAATTTTAATCTCAAGGTTTAAGGGAAGATAAAGAGTGTATACACCTAAGCCATTGTGATCGATTCTGAGCCATGTCACCTAGAGTCTCCAACCATTGATTACGATAGTCACGCGGACCTCAACCAGGTAGTCTGCATCTGCCAACATGGCTCAGACTAGAAGTTAGTGACTTCAAGCACTGATGCCACGTTTTGGTTTGCCCACCCCTAACTTTCTTCCAACCATCCCCTACACTATTCAGCATAGCGCGTCGTGGTAATCGGCGTTCAGGCATACGTAACACGTGGCCCAACCATCTCAGTCGATGAAGGTTCATCACCTCATCAACTGATTTACCATCATTCCCTAATACCCTGTGTCTAACCTCACTATTACTTACGCGGTCACCCCCAGCAGATGCGAGCAATATTTGGCCATGTTTCACAGGCGTAAAGTAGAACAGAGCAAACTGCTGAGCAGTATACTCATCCCTTAATTGATAGACGGACATCTCGTCTTCGCCATAGGTGACGTAAGTTGGCAAAAGCCAAATAAATGAATAATCGTGCTCAGCTAGATGCAAATGCCACCAACTAGCAACCTATGTATGAATTGTGAAATCAGGGAAAAATAAATGATATAATCTCGCAGACGTATTTTATTCTTGGTTGAAGATTTCTTAGCATTGAGTGCCTGGGGACTCACATTAGACTGAATGAAGGACTTTCAGTTCTCACAATTCGTCAGTCAGCTTTAGACCATCAGAAATTACAATTCAATGGTCCACAATCAAATCATAGATTAATTAATTGATCACTAATTCCAATGAGTCATTGTTGAGCAACATGACAAACTGATTAAAGTTGAATGAGATATCAAGCCAGCCACTAGGTATAAAGATTTTAAAATCAATCTATAATAAAGTTAAGAAATTAGCACTGCTCAGTAGTCTCAGAGCAGAACAAAATAGCCACTTAATTGTTCTTGATTTATAATGATTATTCAATTAATTTGTATTTCAAAAATGTACAATATTTGAGCGAAAAATTGTTTTCAATAACTTCATCATCAGGCACTACAGTTATAAGTATATATATCATAACAGATGTAAACGTTCACCATTTTTAACATATAACATTGTCAAATTAATTAATACATACCTCATTTCAGCCTTTGTAAAATATCCCAATAATGATAGACTTATAACTGTAGAGCTTGATGATTAAGTTATTGAAAACAAATGTTCGTTCAAATATTGTTCATTTTTTGAATATTCCATGAGGATTTTTGAACTGCTCAGTCAAAACAACAACAACAATATCATTTCATATATATTTTTACACATTCTATTTATCATTTACACAACACATAGAATAAAAAACAAATAAAATCAACCAATGTATTACACCTAAAAACATAATAGATAAGTATAATAAACAAATATATATCCCCCCCTCGTTCTTTTTACCAATTACATATTATTATATTCAAACAGATCATATTCATTAAATTGTTAATATTAAATATAATAAACAAAAATCTTTGAATTATTAAAACAAAATGAAATGTACAAATAAGAATTAAATTTTAAAAAAAGACAAAATTAAAGAATGTAGACAGGAAAATAAAATCATTCACTGAAAGAAATTTTCAAAAATCAATAATGTGTCAATAATCAACTAATAATAATAATAATAATAATATGGTTACCGATTTCGTTCTTCCTTAATACACTATGTCAATGAGTCTATTTTTATCGACTGATATTGAATCCTCAATAATAATAATCAAAATAAATTATTTTTTTATATTATTTTTACGATTAATAAATGTTATGAAAAAAAAATTTTTTTTCATAGAAATCTGATAATTCAATTTTTAAAAATCTTCAGTGATGTCATTACAAAAACCAAAAAAATGTATTCCGTTTTTCACTCAACTACTTATATGAAGTAGAGAAAAACAACAACAACAAGAAAAAGAAGAACAACGACGAGAAGAAGAATAGCAACAATAAAACCGAACGAGTAAACAAACGGGTGAAAATACAAATTATTATTATTATTATTAAACAATGAAACTACTATAGAATTAATTTATTTCATTTGCTTGTTATACACTTTAAATTTTTACATTAATTTATAGTAGAATATGAAAAAGGGGAAAAACAAAAAAAACCATTTAAAATAAACAAAAAAAGAAAACGAAGATAAGACAATAAAATAAACATTTAAAATAAAAACAAAAACAAAAAAAGAAAAATGAAAATAAGAGTAAAGTAGAGAATCGAATGAAATATTTTTTATACAATATGACATGATGAAAGACATAAATGGATGGAATTATATTTCTTTTCTTTTTTCTCTATTCTTCTTCATTTATTTTATATATATATAATAGGGTATGATTAAAGAGAAGAATTCCCTTGAATATAATATACATTATTAATTTATGATAATGAACAAAAATAGAATTGAATATAGATAATTCAGATTCATTATCATATATTAGAGATAATATTCATAATAATGAATCAATTAATAATGATATATCATTCATCGGTAGTTATATTTTTGTGCTGATTTAATATTTGGCAAAAGAACAGAAAAGAGAAAAAAATTATTTATTGTACTTGATGTTATTAATAGTTTTGATGATATTCTACTGTGATATATTTGATTATTTATCATTTTCACTAAAAACGAAAAAAAGTATCATGAATATAATCAAATATATAAATTTACTAAGACATTATTTGGTGTGCGGCTTATACTACTCCTCAACGAGGGGTAACAGGCGTAAGTAAGTAAGTAAGACATTATTGATAAACTGTAAATATCCTAATAAAATCTATTATAGATTTTATGGATGAAGGTGTAGTGAACAAAAAGACGACTGGGGTCATTCAAATATATTTGACACGAAAATTACAGACTATCTCAATAAAATGTGACAACTATACAGTAGTAAACATTTAATTTGTAAACTATCAGTCAATTGTCTCAATCTTGATCATTTCTTCTGCAAATATCAATCCATAGTCTCCGATTATTATTGTTTATGCATTTTTAAACCAATTGCGTCCCGTTCCGGTTTTCTGCTTATCGATCTTCTACTGAAATACATTCAATGTCCAACCATCGTTATATAATACTTGTGTGGATATAAGTAGCCCACACCACAAAAGGACAGCGAATTAATATTTGTTTTGAATATGTAAATCATAATCTACAACTATGAAGCATTGCTTTTATTGTTAAATACTTATAGTCTATCTAACATTTTGATATCAGTTAAACATTTCTGAAATATTCCATCTTTAATTAATGCCTTTAATAAGTATCAGAAGTGGTTTTTGTGGAGATTTCAGTAATTTTATATAGTTGAGATCATGAGTCCATTGAAGCTAGACCACCATGGAAAACCTGGAAGCACTGGACGGCTGTTTCGTCCTATGGTGGGACTCCTCAGAAGTATTAAAAAACTAAGCAGTGTGAAATGCTTTTTATCCCCTCTTAATTTCATTAACTATAAATGTCTAAAATAGTAGATTACATAAACGAATATCATCCTAAAACTGATGAAATATAATCTGTTGAGAAACATAAAGATTCATTAGTTAGTTTTCAAACTATTTATAATTTATAGTAGTATATGTCTTTTAGCTCTTATCATGAAGATCATAATACCAATATCTATATTGAGTAAACTATTAATTGACTGTAGAACATTTAGATTTTTGTTAAGACATTACGTATTTTGATATTGTAATTGAAGTTAGTTACTTTACACCTCAGCTGGTATTTTACTTCAGTAACTTGTAGTTTAAGTAAAGGTAATGTAAGCACCGTATTTTCTTCAATTAGGATTTCTATAACAAGAAGAAATAACTTTCCAGTATTCTATGACTTTCAAGAATTCTCAAAAAGATGTCGATCAATGGAGAAAATCATCACAAAACTGGAAACGATATATATATAAATATCGTGCTTTGTAATTCTTAATGAACAACCTGGACATTGATAAATCCAATGCTTCGTCAAAATTTGAGGGTACTTTGTAAATTTGTACATTTTAATCTTAATGTTAAAATACTAAGTAAAAGAATTGTAGGTCTTTTAACACATCTAGGATGCGTAGTCCTAGTCACAAACCTTATGTGTGGGCGAGAACGATAATGATTGGTTATCTGCTTAGTCAGAGATGTAGATAGTGTGTCAGGTGTTCGATGTATTCGATATTATATTACCCTACGCTTATTACTTATTATGATTATTGGTTGATTGTTCATTGTTGTTAAACTGTATTGGGTTTGAGTGTGGAAATATAATTACGTTCTATCCGAGCTAATCACGTGTTCTTGATCTGAATTGTGTTGAAGTCCTGTACAATAGACACTGGGAGGGAGTCTAGTGTAGATATTTATCTAAGGTAAATTAACGTCCATTTGCGTGTAAAAAGGAAAACGACTGTTATAACAAAACCTTAGTTATGCTTAACAATCTACTTTTCCAAATTTATTATCCAACAAGTAAATATAAGGTGTATATTTCCAAATTAATTTGTTGTCAATATGGGGGGTTGTGGAGATTGTTGAGTTTCGTTGAGATCATGAAAACTTCTAAGTTAGACAACAAGTGAAAACCTTGAAGCATTAAACAGTTATCTTGTTCTAATATGGGATCCCTCAGCAGTGCGCATTCACGATCCCACACCTCCAGACCACTGAGCCGGCATTCAGCGGCTTTATTATTTAACATTGATCAATCCGCAATATTGCACGATCACCTCCCATTGTCTTTTATAGGCAACTACCTCGAACCTGACACGGTTTGTTACTATCATGTGTAATATTATGAAAATAAAATATATACTTAATAAAAACTTACTTGTTTACATTGATAGAAGATGAATTAACTAACCGATGTACCGGTTTAGATTTCCATGATAAATCAGAAACTTGTAATTTTGTTTGATTTGGTATTGGTAAGTCCATACTTCCACCAAAACTATTTCGTGGACTTACTCTATTCACCGGTTTTGATGGAGGATCTAAATATGATATATTTATACTATGTATTTGATTATCATTATTTTGATTAGTATTGTTTTGATCAACATCATTATTAATATTAGATTTTTTTCCAATGAATGCTGTATAATCAATTGGCCATGCTGTATTTTCACTTATTTCTGAACTAGTTGAATTCTCATGTGATTCTTTTGTTGTCATTGTTGTTGTTACATCTGTTTGAATATCTATAGTTGGAGGATATTTACTAAAGAAAATGATACATAGACATATTTATTATGAAAATAACATTATTGAATAGATATTCATAGCATTTATAATGAATACTACTGATAAATTAATTTCAATACATTAATAAGAATAAACCTTATGGGATAATATGAATTTATGGTATTTCCCAAATTCTCATCAGCTACTTACAATCCAAACAAAATATTATTAATCATTCAAAATCAGTATATATTATTTTTCATTATAATCGCAGAAATATTGTCATTGGTTAAGGAGCACCAGATACATATGCGCCGCACAAATCTCATTTGATTTGTGTGAAGGCTGTGATACTGCACAGGTCCCCGAACTGAAGAAGATGGTTTTCTTAGGGGACCACGCACGGAGCCTTTGATCTAAAGATCTGATCCACAAGGCAGTGGAGCATCGTGAGGAGATGCAGTCCCATGGAAGCCGGTGACCAACGATTGATTAACACGCCATTTGTTCCCTCAGGATACTGGAGCCCATGTGCACCATTGGTTTGGAATCAGGGTTTTCCTACTCCCTCTCAATTTCGTTAACAACACCCCCGCCACGAGAAGGCAGTGAGTAGGACTTCCCTGGAAGAGGCTATATACGCGTGGCCACGTGAGAGCATTTCGAGAGAGATAGCGGACTCTCCCTAATCTCGGCCGTATCAGGGCATTTGAGGGTGTTATCGGTGAAGATTAATAGAAGATCAGTTATGAATATGGATGAATTTGTAAAAGATGTTTAAATCCTTGAATATTTATATTTATATTTATATACATAAGTTCTAAAAGTATAACTTTTCGTAAGGTATATGGAAACAGGTACTACAGTAAGAAAGAAACGTAGTTTCCTACTAATTACCTTCAAAAGGGACGAAATATTTGACGAAATTGATTCTAGACTAATGATGACTTTGAAAAGATCTTATTTAGTTGCGAAATTTGTCTCAACATAACAAATGAATCACTCACTGAGACACTTCAAAGTAAACAGACGCTCAACTTACGTTTCTTTCAAATATCAGTTTACATGTAAATGGTAATGCATACTAACAAAAAGAGGAGAAAGGAGAGTAACTATTTGCATCTTCAAGTACATTCTTCAGAAGTTGAGACTAAGATGTCACAATGTCTTCAATAACTCAATCACCTTCAATTTACTTGGTAATAAAAATGAGTTTGATGTTTCGAAATCGTTCAGAATTGTTGATAAACGAAAATCTTTGAACTTATTACGTTTTACTGAAGCCATCACCATCAAAAACCTTAAACCAGATTAATGTATTCATGTAGATACTGTTGTCAGTCTTTCTTTGCTTTGAACAATATTTCCGTCATGTAGTTCTGAAACAGTTTTTTGTTTACTAGTGAAAATTAGTCTTCATACTTCTTTTAGGTTTTCTTTGAGCTTCAGGCATTCAAATCTTCGTTGTTATTATTTCGTAACTTTTGATATCTATCTTATTCATTAATCTGTTGACTAAACTGTAGTTTCGACCAGTATCGAGTTTACCATTACTTGGAAAGGGGAGTAAAATCTTGAACAGTAGTGTGTGCAAATGTCTTATTCGCCCAGAGTATAAAATGTGACCTGAATGATATGCTATTAACATGATCAGACTTGCTTCGATTACATTGAGTATCATTCTGTTCCTCTGTACTGTTCAAGCCTGTGTTAATTTATTTCGATTATTTATTCCCGAAAGGGGCGGTCTCAAAATCCCAATTTTTACCCAGTAGGATATTATAAATACATTATTATTTTATTATTGAGATGTCATTACTTATTCTATATGATCGGATTTCTTTATAGTGTAAAAAATATTAATTCATATTAGTTAGATGTGAAACAGCAAACTGAACTCGAACAAACGTATAGTTTAATATCTTCCGTAGCAGAGATATAAAATCTACCACTCTCAAACACAGATGACGTTATAGTGACCACACCATCTTGACACATTTATGTTTCTTATTAAGTAGTAATAACTCTGTGCCAACAAAATTTATGACAGTGACAGCCTGTATACTATCAGCAGTACGGTACTGTAAAATAACCTCACTTCTGATTATTCACTTTATCTGCAACACGTTTATGATTTCAGAGATCAGATACATTCATTTGAAAATCATTGCTCACATATAAGAAGAAACTGGGTTAAAAACTAATAAATAGATTTTAGGTTTCAAATTAAGAAAATGTTTGTTAGACAGCTGATCTATCATCTAATTTAGTGTCACCACTTATTAATTATCAACCCCTTTAATGAGAATAATAAAATACTAGTTTCCGGATATTTGACTCGCAGACATTGCTCTCTTTTGTTGAAAATCTTCTGAAGTTTATCGTCATAAACAACATAAAACTGATGTGATGGAAAATTTCAAAGAACGAAAATAGGTCGTATATTCATGTTATTGATCTGTAAATAAGATCTATTTAACATTTTTCACCCAAATGTAATATCGATTTGTTAGATAGTGGTAAACCTATTAAACCTATGGTAAACTATTAAATAAGTTCCTGTAAGGATGGCTCGTTGGTAAACTCGAGGAAGCTTCAAGAAGCCCAGAAAGAGCCGAAAACATTCCATCCAATCACTGCCAGGGTAATATTCTAGAATGTCGACATGTAGCTTCCACACTGGATGGATACGAATGACCCCCTATGTGCATATTGGTTGTCCGAAATGATGATTTACTCTCAGTCAAAAACTATAAATACATGAGATTTCTGTACTATATTTTGACACTGTTTTGGGGAATAAACTTCCTACTTACTAGTCTTCTGTCTTCTCTCTTGCGACGTTGCGGGTTCGTTCGTTCATGTAGTCTAGTAGTACGCGGTATAGTAAGAGTCAAAGCTCTAGATATAACAGTTCCTATCGTTTATATGATTTTTAGTGGCGGTTCTTCGAAAACCCAATGGTGAATTAATATAATCAGAATGATTTCAATTGAAAATTCCCTAATAACTTATCAGTCAGACCCATTCGCATTAAAAAAAGTAATAACCACGAGATTTTGAAAAATTTCTAGATATAAATTAGTTGACTATTGTTCAAATATTATTGCTCCCCAGTTGAACCATTATGAAGTAACTAGTACTTAAACAGACATCACTTACCATTTTAGTGAAGCATACTGTGAACTATCAGATGAATCACTTAAAGAATCTTGATTAATAATTTCTGATGGTCTGTGAAGAGAAAAGAAAAATCAAATATTGATCAAAGTTGGTAACTTTGTAGATGTGTTTGTTTTTACCCGTTGTTGATCTTATAGACTGCAAATGATCAATCTCTATTGCCATGAGTTCTTCCTGAAGGGAGATAACCTCTATATACACTTTAGTTACAATTTCTTAGTATTTTTGGTATGTGGCTGGAAAGGATATCCAATACACTTGTTTCTTCCTATTTGGAACTAGTCAGATAGATGTATCTCCATCCATGTCGATGTTTGTGTAGAGACTCGAACACTAGTATTTGCTTTAAACGCCGACGCGTTACATATTAAGTTACTTGAGTCTATTTATCTAATGCGTTCAATTTTTAATTGTTGAAAGGCAAACAATACAATTGCAGCTTCGTTATTTATCAGTCGACTTAAATGATTTGATGGCAGTTCACAGTTTAATTTCAAAGGATTTTAATTGTCCACCATATTCAAATTATTGTACTAAACAACACTGCAATAGTAGTATGTAATGATATAGGGGATAATTGAATTTTAGTGATAATCGACAAAGCATACGAATATTCAAAGAACATAGGACTATAGCAACTCTCCTTCAATCAATGGTTAATTTTGGTTAAGCCCTTTTATTAACTTATTTAACAGACAATGCTATTCGAACAGTAACAATTCTCATATTTCTTTGATATATTATGATCATAGCCATATCTGTATAAACGTGTACGCTTGATCACATGATAGACTATAGCTACAATGCTAATCGCTTAAATGTCGTTGGATGATTCATTCTCTTCCCCATGTTTTACATGTACTCGAATCCTATCATTAGCCACTGACTATCCTAGCTTCACCTTATTCGATTTAACTATAAATCTGACTTGGTATTTGCTCACATACACACGCTTGACTGTCTACTTCAGATTCGCTCGATGTGCTTGTAGCTTTGTTGTCTGTGCTGTCCGCAAATTAACTGTAGTCACCGCTTCTAATTTCAAACACCATTGAGATTTATATAATAACAGTTATCAAGGTGATTGATTAACGAAGCAAAGCCACTACAGGACGACAGTCAACATTTATGATCAATTATAAATTGCCTCACTGAGTTTCACTATAATTCAATACATGTTCTAGTGTATTTTATTTAAGAGTAAAACCTTATATATATATATATATATATATATATATATATATATATATATATATATATATATATATATTCACTACTAAACATTATAACAGTTTTTTAAGAGCTATATCAACTTAATAGTGTCTTATACGTTTATGCTAAGATCGACTGACTAGTTCTCTATAATAAATCAATAACGAGAAATTGTAATCTATGGAGATGCATATGCTCTATCCATAATTTTATTGCAAGTATTATTGTAGTAAACGAATGCTCAAGTGAGGAGAACCAATTTATTGTCTAATACAAACTACAGAATGTCTTCCTAAAATATGAAAACCATACATTAAGTACATCATTTGCACATCTTCCATCAACTGTCTCACATAAAGTTCATCTTTCCTTCATTCTTGCTGTTACTAAAATTACTCTCTGTTTACATTACTGTTCTTTTCAATTCGATCTCAACTTTCTGCTGAGACGAATCCCACTTCTGATTGATGTTACTTACAACTTATGTCTGTCGACATAGGTAGCATACACCACATTATCATTTAATAAGAATAAACTTATACCAATATGATAAACTTGAATTTGTTAAAAAATCATACTATCAGTGTGTATTTGAGTAGGGAAAATATATTTATGTAGTTAATAGAAAATGAACACTTTTCTTTGGATGATTTTCAGACTAGTAAACAAATATCTGAAAGATGATCTATAAGGATTAGGTTAACATTCTCTATTCTATTCACTAAGCAATTAAAAATATTTTACTTCTTAGCTGTCTATAAGCATTATAGAAGCAAATTTATAGACTGAGTATAGTATTGCAAGACAACTATCACAGAGTTGAACAGTTCTAGGAGTTTGCTTAAAGAAGACATTCATGACATTATGATACATAGAAGTGTAGAACTGAACTGGTGAGAGTTGCTTTAGTTTTACAAAATTTATCATAATATGAATGTAACATCTGATGTTATAACAAGTAATCAAAGAAAGTCATTTGTAACAATATAAATAATCATATACACCTAAAAGATTAAGGAGTATATTTCTAACCAATATTAGATGTCTTCATTGTTATAATGAATGGAATTTTAAGTTAATTAAGTGGACTTAAGTTGAAAAGTATGTTGATTATGGTTAAAATGAAAATAATAAATTAAAATGATATTTGATGTATGAGAATTTCTATGGATTACCTGAACTGATTTATTTTTTTGTTAATTTGTCATGTTTATTTATCCAATATATTGAAATGAGTAAATTAAGTTAACATTATGAATTCCTTATTGTTATACAGAAACCAATAAATGATCATATGAAGTTATTGGTTAAATTAACTAATTAATAAATAATATGTAAAATTATAATGATTATAAACTATCATGTTATAACAGAAGGGGGTTTTGTGGAGATTTCAGTAATTTTATATAATTGAGATCATGAGTCAATTGAAGCTAGGCCACCATGGAAAACCTGGAAGCATTGGACGGCCGTTTCGTTCTATTGTGGGACTCCTCAGTAGTGCGCGTGAGACTGATAGATCCTGGGTTCGAATTTCGTTAGGCGGGATCGTAGATGCGCACTGCTGAGGAGTCTCACAAACGACGAAATCGCCGTCCAGTGCTTACAGGTTTTCCATGGCGGTCTAGCTTCAATTGACTCATGATCTCAACTATGTTATGTCATATGTTATTGATTAAAAAATTAAGTAAATATTACTCACCGATAAGCTAAAATGTTAGATGTTCTAAAAGGTCGAGGAATAAGAGACATCTCCTGTAATTGTGCTCTATAAGATTAAATATTAGAAATAATTACATATCCTAAACAATAATTAAATATATTTAAATAAGTCATGGAAATTATCCTGTGATATATTTCTTTTTCCGGTTATATTTTAAGTGTTTAAAAATTCTATCCATTAAATTACTAAACATAGTAATTACATAATAATAATAAAGCTGTGAAAGATTGTTATCTTCTTTATATATAGTGATTAATCTTTTGACTGAACGCTTGAATCGGCTTCTCAAGATCTACTAATAACTCCAGGCTTAGTCTACACAACAAATTCAACAAGACAGAAAAGACGCGAAATATGGAAAGAACGTTTTACTCTAAGTTTAATTTATGTACAGAGAATTCAAGGTATTTATAGTAGTTTAGATAACTTTGAGCCTCTGGAAGGTTCTGGAACCCTTCTAAACATTGTAGCAGGATAAGTAAGTATCCAATCAGAAATGTGGCACATGGCTCTTCACTTTCTAGATGTTTCTGAGAAACTTCTACTCAATGCTAATTACATTAAATATTTCTCGGTGTTTCCAGGGCATGGGGTTAGCGACCCCATCCCGTAGAAAAGCTAACTCGCTAAAAAAAAGCTAACCAGAAAAAATAATTCAAACCATTTAAACTCTGCCCCGGCACTTGAAGGAATAATTATGACGTCTCATGATGAAAGCCGAAATTCTTCGGAAGTCACGAGACCGATGCATTTTCTAACAACCAGAGCAACACTCTTTATAGGTACATGGAACGTCCGAACAATGTAGGAGACAGGAAAGACCAGCCAAATAGCAATGGAAATGAAGAGATACAACTTGGCAGTACTCGGAATCAGCGAAACCCATTGGACACAAACTGGACAACAAAGGCTAGGTACAGGAGAGATGCTGCTGTACTCCGGTCACGAAGGGGAAAATGTTCCACACACTCAGGGAGTTGCTCTAATACTGTCCAAAGAAGCACGAAATGCACTTGTGGGATGGGAATCTCATGGACCCAGGATAATCAAAGCATCATTCAGAACAAAGAAGCCAGGGATCAAAATGAACATTATCCAATGTTATGCACCCACCAATGATAGCAACGACGATGATAAAGATCAGTTCTATGAAAGGCTGCAATCAATTATAGCAAAGTGCTCACGAAAGGACCTGACCATCCTGATGGGAGATCTAAATGCTAAAGTTGGAGTGGACAACACAGGATATGAAGATGTAATTGGACGACATGGATTAGGAGAGAGAAATGAAAATGTGGAGAGACTTGCAAACCTATGTGCATTCAACAAATTGGTTATAGGCGGCACAATATTCCCACACAAACGTATACACAAAGCTACATGGATCTCACCGGACCATACCACAGTGAACCAGATTGATCACATCTGTATCAACAAAAAATTCCGAAGATCAATGGAAGATGTGAGAACCCGGAGAGGAGCTGACATAGCTTCAGATCACCACCTGGTTGTGGCCAAGATGAGACTGAAGCTAAAGAAAGACTGGACAACTGGACAAACAGCACTACAAAGGTTCAATACAGCCTTCCTTCAAGATACTGACAAGCTCCATGAATTCAAGATAACTCTCAACAACAGGTTCCAAGCTCTACAGGATCTACTGAAAGAACAAGAAACTACTTTGGAGGACAACTGGAAAGGGATAAAAGAAGCACTAACTTCAACGTGTCAGCAGGTTCTTGGTCCTAAGAAGCATCATCACAAGGAATGGATCTCTATGGGAACCCTGGACAAAATTCAAGAAAGGAAGAACAAGAAACTAGCAATTAACAACAGCCGAACACGAGCAGAGAAAGTCAAAGCACAAGCAGACTACGCAGAAGCAAACAGAGAAGTGAAGAAAAGCATTAAAGCCGACAAGCAGAAATATGTGGGAGAACTAGCAACGGCGGCGGAAAAAGCTGCAAGAGAAGGGAATATGAAACAACTATATGATACAACGAAGAAATTGGCAGGGAGATATAGCAAACCAGAGAGACCAGTCAAGGACAAAGAAGGAAAGACAATCACTGAGATTCAAGAACAGAGGAAAAGATGGGCAGAATACTTCGAGGAACTCTTGAATAGACCAGCCCCATTGAATCCACCGAACATCGAAGCAGCCCACACAGACCTTCCAATAGATGTCACTCCACCAACGATCGAAGAAGTCAAGATGGCCATTAGACAAATCAAAAGTGGGAAGGCGGCAGGACCTGACAATATACCAGCAGAAGCACTGAAGTCAGACATTGAAATAACTGCAAATATGCTTCACCTCCTATTCAAGAAGATTTGGGAAGAGGAACAAGTGCCAACGGACTGGAAAGAAGGATATCTCATCAAGATACCAAAGAAAGGAGATCTGAGCAAATGTGAGAACTACAGAGGTATCAGTTTGTTATCAGTACCAGGAAAAGTTTTCAACAGAGTGCTGCTGAATCGGATGAAAGACGCAGTAGACGCTGAACTTAGGGATCATCAGGCTGGATTCCGTAAGGATCGGTCAAGCACAGACCAGATTGCGACACTACGGATCATCGTTGAACAATCAGTTGAGTGGAACTCATCACTATACGTCAACTTCATTGACTATGAGAAGGCGTTTGACAGTGTGGACAGGAGATCATTATGGAAACTTCTTCGACACTATGGAGTTCCTGAAAAGATTGTCAACATTATCCAAAACTCATACGATGGACTACAGTGCAAAGTGGTGCATGGAGGACAGCTGACAGATGCATTTCCAGTAAGGACCGGAGTCAGACAAGGCTGTCTACTCTCCCCATTTCTCTTCCTTCTAGTGATTGACTGGATTATGAAGAATTCGACATCTGAAGGGAAATACGGAATACAATGGACTTCTCAGAATCAATTAGATGATTTGGACTTCGCAGATGACCTAGCCCTCCTCTCTCATACACACGACCAAATGCAGATGAAGACAGCAAATGCAGCAGCAGCCTCCGCATCGATAGGCCTCCACATTCACAAAGGAAAAAGCAAGATTCTCAAATGCAACACGGAGAACACCAACCAAACCAATAACACTTGATGGCGAAACTCTGGAAGAGGTAGAAACATTCAAGTACCTGGGGAGCATCGTTGATAAACAAGGGGGATCGGATGCAGATGTAAAGGCGAGGATTGGCAAAGCAAGGGCAGCATTTCTACAATTGAAGAACATATGGAACTCAAAACAACTCTCAACCAATTTCAAGGTCAGAATCTTTAATACGAACGTCAAGACAGTCCTACTGTATGGAGCTGAAACGTGGAGAACTACTACGACCATCATCAGGAAGGTACAAGTATTTAGAAACAATTGTCTACGCAAAATACTCAACATCCACTGGCCGGATACTATCAGCAACAGCGTTTTATGGGAGAGGACAAATCAGCAGGTTCCAGCTGAAGAGGAAATTAGAAAAAGACGTTGGAAGTGGATCGGATATACATTGAGGAAATCACCAAACTGCATCACGAGGCAACTCCTAACATGGAATCCGGAAGGGAAGCGGAAAAGAGGAAGGCCAAAGAACACACTACGCCGGGAAATAGAAGCCGATATGAAAAGGATGAATAGCAACTGGAAAGAACTGGAAAGGAAGGCTCAGGACAGAGTTGGATGGAGAATGCTGGTGAGCGGCCTATGCTCCTCCACAAGGGGTAACAGGCGTAAGTAAGTAAGTAAGTTTTCAGGGCTCCTTTGTGTCTTTGACGAAGAAAATTCTGGATCTTCACAACAATATGGAATAGTGCAGAAATTGTATTTAGGAATAAGCTTTTCCTTATATGCATAGAAACTTGAATACTTTAATTCTACCCAAAGTTTGTGCTGATAATGTTGTTCAGAAGAACAATGAAGGCTCGATGACCGAACCATTTAGCTTGAGAAAACAACACCAAAATTTCTATATCAGCCATCAGACTGTCAGATTTTTGTTTACTTCTATACTTTTTACTACATTGGTGCCTGTAATAAAGACATTTTGTTGTGATCAAGCAAGAATAGAACATACTACTACAAAAAACATTATTAATAGTTTATATTTTCAAGATGATTCCTATCAATGAACACGACTCAGTCTTTTGAATTGCTAACTGTCAAAAATGTCACAGTTAAGTATACCCTAATAAGCAGGATCTTACTAGGTATGCAGACTCATAACAGCAACAAACAGAATAATAGCTATCGATTTTTACATCTGACAGGTGTAGATGTTAAGACCTCCAATTTAGTTAAATAATTTTTGCCGTTATTGACGTCCATACACACTATTTCTTGTACTGTTTGCCATATGCTACTCATAAATAGTAAGTAGTTTGAGGAGTGTAAATTTATTCGTCGGTTGCCCCAGTGAATTTTTGACACAATAAACTTCTTCCGTGATTCCCATGTCTTGGTTCAGACCACTACCAACAGTAGTACTGCTTTTTATCCCATCTTTCAGTTTTTTCTGGCGTAACAGTGTCTAAAAATTTTATCTGACTGCCTAACTTTGTAAGGTAGTCACAAATTCACTTTTGTTAACTATCGATATTTACACTCTAAAAAGTTGTGTTGTTCTGCAATTCACAGTTTGTTTATTAACTCCATTCTTATTCATTGAGTTGAATGACTAACGTTTACACTAACTGTGCCTTCAATGGTGTACAAATGACTCAAAGAACAAATGACTTCAATTTGATAATTTTTTAATACTGATTTCACTTTGCTACAACATTTTTAATTTTAATCACAAATACTTTATCGACTTGTAATGGTTAAAAAGTGTTAAGGTATCTACTGTCACTCGATAATCAGGTAAAGAACATCTTATTCTGATTTAAAATGGAAAACCTATTTGATTTGTCAAACTGAACTATAAAAAGATTACACGTCAGTAGAAAACTACAGAAGGTTTCTACAATAATTCGAAATTAATTTGACGCTAGTAATAAACCGAATTGTGTTTCTAACTCTACTAATCATCCCTGATAATTATCGTGAATAATAAATTTCTAAGTTATTCAACCAAACTAATGAACTTTTCAAGATAATCAATGACATTAATTACAAAAGTAGGTAAATTTTCTATGGTAACCATCAGTATGAACTGGTATGTGAGGCTTCACCATAATAAATATAAATTGATGAACACGTACTCGATATAGAGTAGTAAGTCATTTTGAGCCAGAGAGGCTCGAAAGTAATACCTGACTGATGAAATTAGAAGAAAAAATAGTTTAAAAAGTAACAAAATATGTGATAAATATCCAATGATACAAAAAGTTAAAACATGTAATTTACAGTTACTATTGAGTTACTTACTCTTTGAATGTTTTACAGTTAAGTGCTCGTAAGCATAAAGTTTTGGCTTCTGAAGGTGATTTACATTTAAACCCAAGAACAAGATCTCTTTCATCTTCTGACTGAAAAAATAATATGAAAGCAAATTCATAAGGAAAGCTAGGTTTACTACTATTTTGGGAAGATATTTGCACTAATAGTGAATCCGTTAATTATAGTCGAGATTATGAGTGAACATCAACGAGAGATTTAAAGTAACATAGAGAACTGATGTAATGAAGCTAAAGAAATCCATTTTAGATCATGCAACTCAGCGTCTATTACCACGAAACACGACTTTCACTGTGGTCCCCATCAGAAAGTTGACACCCTGTGACACAGCCCAGATCAAAAATCGGAGTATTTCCTCTTTATCTAGTAAAAATGTTCTTCATTGATGTCACGAAAACAAATCGCTACATTTCACAGCATTGTGAGAATAATACTTATTCCCTTCTGAGAGTAAGTTAGTACAAGCATATTACAGATTACAAAAAGGAATGAAGCTGATAAGAATCGATAATCTTCGATATTTATTAGTCAAGTCATAGGGATATTGTATTAGCTTCATGATGTAACCAGTTTAATACTGAACTATGCAAACAACAACAATTATCAGTTTGATGTATTTTTCTTTATAAGGAAATGTCATGAAGAGATAGTAACAATGCAGAATACATGAAAAACCTTGAAGTAAAACAGAATACAGATAAAATGAAAACACACTATATAATTTAAATGCTGTAATAATAATGCAAATTAAACTTTGTTTTCAAACGCAAGTTAACTCAACATAAATGATGAATCAACGAAAAAATTTACCTGTTTGCCATTAACGATTAAAACCAAATTCTTTTTTTCTGGATAAATGTTTTTAATAGATGCCCTGTGCAGTGATAATAGAAAAAAAACTGTAATTAGACATTATTATTGAAAACAAGCGATAGCTATTTATGTTATAATGTATAACAATCGTTATTGTATATGAAACGTGCAATGATACAGAAAATACGTACGAGCAGTCTTGATTGCTATTCGGTCCTTCCTAACTGCCTAGCCCAGCCAGTTGAGTCCAGAACACAAATAACAGCCTCGGAAATATGAATCATTATTCACAAGCACACTGGGTTATATATACTAACCAAACAGACCCAATTATACCAAAAAATAGAAAAATAACATTTGTACAGTAATTGGCCAATGTGGCTATGGATAGGGGGAAAGTAATCAATAATAATAGTTCAAAGGTCAAAATAAGGTTACGGTAAGAGGAACACGAATACAATTAGGTCAGTTATTTAACAACTAAACAATAGGAATTAGGCATATTACCTTTGTCCATAATAGACCTCAGATTTACCATTCATGATTCACCAGGGGATATAACAATTTAAAAACTCAAATTCATATCATCAGTATAGAGTTGTGCAGATTGTTGAGTTTAGATTGATATCATGAATGAACCAATGTTAGAGCACTATTGAAAACCTGGAAGCACTGGATGACCGTTTCGTCTTAGCACGGGACTCCTCAATAGTGAGCATCCCCGATTCTGCGGACAGCTACCCACCGAAGACAATGAACGATAGTCACTCAGTATCATGGATTAGTTGAAGTTAGATAATAGCACCATTTGATGCTGGCTCAGTGGTATTGAGATTAAGCGTTTGCTCGCGAGCATATATATATATATATATATATATATATATAATGCATTTCATCTGGTAGATCACTAAATGGATGATTCAAAATTTGCTCATACAAATCCTTAAGAGAATTAAGTTTTAACTGAATTTTACTAATTAGTATAAAGTAATTGAAATGAACACATCGTGGAAATTTAGTGCACTGAGTTCATCAAATAGAAATGTGTAATATGTTGTTTAAACGATCGCAAGCTAATTAGTGAATAATACATTACCTTCTGGTTTGCTTAAGAAATAGCAAGATCATATAGATTAATTTAGGACTAATAATAGGCTAAACGTTGAACAATAGTCTGCCTTTTGTCAATGCAAGCTATATTTCTTGTAGGAATTTTTCATTTCAAAATAATACGTCTGAGTTAAATAATTTAATTTCAATCAATTGTTACATGGAGAAACTAATGACCAGTGGAGATACTGACCTGGTTACTCACTTTCATTTGTATCACAAAAATTAAATGGATTTGAAAATTTAGTTCATTGTATTCCAAAACTATCATGCTAAATGCTAGACTTGAAGGTTTATAGTTTGAGTCATACTGTGAAAAGGGTGACCACTGTCAGTAGTTAGCAATAACTCCTACTACTAGCACTAGACGCCTGCTACCCCATGTGGAGGAGCATAGGCCGCTCACCAGCATTCTCCATCCAACTCTGTCCTGAGCCTTCCTTTCCAGTTCTTTCCAGTTACTATTCAGCCTTTTCATATCGGCTTCTATTTCCCGGCGTAGTGTGTTCTTTGGCCTTCCTCTCTTCCGCTTCCCTTCCGGATTCCAGGTTAGGGCTTGCCTCGTGATGGAATTTGGTGATTTCTTCAATGTATATCCGATCCACTTCCAACGTCTTTTTCTAATTTCCTCTTCAGCTGGAACCTGCTGGTTTGTCCTCTCCCATAAAACGCTGTTGCTGATAGTATCCGGCCAGTGAATGTGGAGTATTTTGTGCAGACAACTGTTTATAAATACTTGTACCTTCTTCACGATGGTCGTAGTAGTTCTCCACGTTTCAGCTCCATACAGTAGGACTGTCTTGACGTTCGTATTAAAGATTTTGACCTTGGAATTAGTGGACAGTTGTTTGAAGATCCATATGTTGTTCAATTGTAGAAATGCTGCCCTTGCTTTGCCGATCCTCGCCTTTACATCTGCATCCGATCCTCCTTGTTTATCAACGATGCTCCCCAGGTACTTGAATGTTTCCACCTCTTCCAGAGTTTCGCCATCAAGTGTTATTGGTTTGGTTGGTGTTCTCCGTGTTGCATTTGAGAATCTTGCTTTTTCCTTTGTGAATGTGGAGGCCTATCGATGCGGAGGCTGCTGCTGCATTTGCTGTCTTCATCTGCATTTGGTCGTGTGTATGAGAGAGGAGGGCTAGGTCATCTGCGAAGTCCAAATCATCTAATTGATTCTGAGAAGTCCATTGTATTCCGTATTTCCCTTCAGATGTCGAATTCTTCATAATCCAGTCAATCACTAGAAGGAAGAGAAATGGGGAGAGTAGACAGCCTTGTCTGACTCCGGTCCTTACTGGAAATGCATCTGTCAGCTGTCCTCCATGCACCACTTTGCACTGTAATCCATAGCAATAACTCCCCTGGACCCGAATTTCGTGCTACGTAGCACTCGTCAGTAAGGTGTACCTGTAGTCTTGAGGGAACTTGTGCTACCTGGTGAGTTCGATCCCGTGTCATCCACTAAGCTATCCAGGCCGCGACTAACCTCTTGCAGGACTGTGAGATGGGATCGAATCCGTCAGGGAGCACCAGTTCCCTCAAGATTACAGGTACACCTTGCTGACTAGTGCCAAGTAGCACGAAACCCGGGTCCAGGGTTTCCTGTTGACCACCTCCAAAAACCATCTTATCTCAAAATAGTACACACAGTGTCGAGTCACCTAGACTAATGGCCACATTGCAGTTTGATCGATAGGAATCAATCTGCACTAAGAAGGATTTGACACACATGACATTGATCACCACCCAGTGATCAATCAACTGTAATAACTCCTGTTTTTTTCATTCTGGACTGTAAACTAACTTCTTATAAACAACTTACACTAAACCCTAACCTTAATAAAGTCTTCCATTTGACTGCCAAAAACATAAGTTAACAGCAGTAAATAAGATCATAAGATGACTTAATCAGGCCTAAAATACAATTGATGATAAATACCTAAACAATGAATTACATAACTGTTAGCACATTTTCATAGATTTTGTGTAAAGATGTTCAATTCAAATTCTTTAATACATACTTCTTATTTTTTTTTAAATCAATACATGGACCACAAACAGTTTTTCATTGTCATATGTTTAACTTATAATATTAATACTTTCAAAATAATACTAAGTCATAAATTGCATTCATCATTTATGTGTTTTATTCTTAGCCAATAGAGCCAACATTATTATAGAATTATAGAATTTATCTTAGATTGAAAATTCAGTATATCGATTGATGAAAATTTAACAGTAAGTAAGGTACACTTCCTAGCTACCATAGATGACAAAATTATCTGAGCTCAAAATTCCTACTCATCAATATTTCCCGATAAAAGTTAAGTATTTATTCTCTAGAATACCCTCAACAACAACATGTCTAAGTTTACTATTTCATGTTGATTGGATTCCTTTATTGATCATTTGATCATTTGATTTGACTCATTTTAAATCACTTTACTGTTCAATGATTAAAACAATGGTTGTATTGTGAGGAGGTACTGAATTGACTGGAGTGCGAGGAGCATACGAAATTGATTTTCCCCAGCCGTCTATAATATGTAATCACATTAGTTATTAAGGCTTATTTGTATGATTTTGCAAATATACCTTCATATAGTAAGTTGTTGATTGATTGATTAATCAATGTGAAGTAAAACTTAGTTCAACTTATACAAATCTGAATACTAATCTGATTGCAAACAACTCATATAGAAATTTGCATATTCACATATTATTTTGATTTATTATGAGGATCAAGTAAATCCATGTCTAAGGTCTTCGTATTTTCACTTACGTTGTCCAACACATTGTTCCCCAGTATTAAGTATCAAATTCGTTTAGAGTTTTGTGGATACATCAGGTAGCACAAGGACAAACTGAACTTCCCTAAATAACCTATTATTTCCTTTACTTTCTTACGTGGCTCAACACATGATTACATGACGTGATGACGAAACATTTTGACCATCATATATGGATGCTTTAAATCATTTTTCAGCATATAGGACGATATCTAATGAAAAGTTCTGAGATGATGCGCTAATCCTTCACTCCGAAGGAAGCTATACATTAAGATCGTGAATTTTCACTAAATGAGAAATTGGTAAACATGCTTAGATTTAGATTTGAAAAACATGTTTCCTAGTAGTGTAAATGTTAAGCTTGAAAATAACTAGAAATTGACACATAAAAGTATAAATCTGATCAAAAAAGTTCCTAAATATTCAGAGAACTTATACAAGAAGTTATGGACTTCTTGAATAGATTCTATAAGAAACAGAAAATAAATAACTTTAGACCATGGTAAATTCACATTTAGATTCTCTAAACTAGGACATGATATCCTTACTCTATTTATGTGTCATTTATCTTTTCATCCCATTATTTATTTTCAAGCCATACTATATCCATATATTTCTTTGTTTTGATGAGTTGTAACATAAAGTGACATATACTGTTGAATAATATCAGTAAAGTATGATTATAAAACAGTCACAGTGATTATAGATTCTATTTTGAATAGCAAGTATAATGAAGCAGAAATCTACGGAAGACTGTACTGGTGTCGTGGACAAGAACACCGGTGGGGACAATTGAATGTATTTAAGCACAAATTACAGACTATTTCACTAAATTCTGATAACCATACAGTAAACAGTTAATTCGCAAATTAACAATCAGTTGTCTCAATCATAAATGTTCCCTCTGCAAATATCAGTCCGTCTTCTCTGATTTCATTGTTCATGCATTTTCATAACGATTGCGCTTCATTCCTGTTCTTTCCTTATAGATCTTCTGCCAAAAAACATTCTATATCTGACCATTACAATATGCTACTTATGTGGATATAAGTAGACCACACCACACTAGTACAATCTACAAGTTATTACATAATGTACAGTTCACGCTGACATATTTTTGCAAATAAACACATCTTCACACGTGCAACTCTCCTATCTATAAGATTATGATTTGGTAATAATCAGTTAAAATCATGAAACCCAGAAACTTTTACTTAAGAATGAGAATAATGACAGTAAACATGAATATATATAAATTCACTTAGAAGTAGTAAGAGTATAAGCAGTAATTGGAAAGATTAAGGTTTGAAGATGTTATTGAAGGAGTATAATACAGTGAAATAAATATGGAAGGAGAAAAAAGGTTAGGGACATGAAGAGTTCAGAAGATTAGAATTTGGCAGAACATAAAGAGTGGATGCACCTTCGCCATTGCAAACGATTTTGAGCCATGTCATTCAAGGTTTCTAACCATCGGTTGCTATCATCTCGCGGATCCCAATCAGGTAGTTTACACCTACTAACATGGCTCAGTCCCCCTCTCAGCGACTTCATGGATTTATGCCACGTTTTGGTCTGGCCGCCCTTAGCTTTCTTCCAACCTACTCTAATTGGCATATGTGCATACTGTGCGTGTTGCCTCGATATAGCCTAAATTCACAAGCATTGTAAGCAAAGATGGATATTGAACATCAACTCTGAGATGCAGGTACATCCAGCTGAAGAGTCCAAAATAGGACGAAACGCGCGTCCTGGATTCCACTGCTAGCCACTATCCATCTTTGCTTACCATGAACATATCTAGTTTAAAAAGTTATATCTTTTAAACTAACTGGATATAACCACTTGCAAACCATTTAATCTAGAAAACTTCTCCTGAATGTATTAGATATATATATATATATATATTATTTAATTTTATTTCATTATTTAGTCATAGATTCAATTTCATTTTTTAATACTGAGTCACATGAATGTTGCATAAACATAATAAAATAAATGAGATTCAAATGATATTTTTAGTAACTTTAGAATGGTGCTTCAAGACAAGTAAAATATGAAGTTAACAACTATGTGAAAAATTATTATTGGTACTCAAAATATATCGTTTAATTGTTTGTATCTATTATTATGCTAATTAATCAATCACTATTCCATTTAAATAGTAACCAATTGTACTTGCAATTTATTTTCAAGTCTAAAAATATCTGGTAAATTAAATGAGACCGTGAGACAGTTATCTGACGACAGGTAGTTTTTGAATACAATTTGAAGTCTGCTAAATTTAATCTTTAAAAAAAACAGTAATTGGTTTTGAATACGTAATTGATTGTACACTGGTGACAAGTTAATTATTATTAAAGTAACTATAATTATATGAATTTAATTAGAAAATAGTAAACTTACCATTCAAATACATTGATACTGCAACCATCCTTGAATATAGAAATACCTTTATAATTAAATCCAATACATAAACCATTTTGCCGTTGATCCTTGAAAAAAAAAAGAATTAACAAAATGAATACTGTACAAATTCTGAAAGTATATGGTAATTCTTGGAAAAAAGTAATGAGATTTAATTGCATAACTTTCTTTAAAAATAAGCACTCCTAAACATATTTTACTTTGTGAAGGGCTAAAAATTAACCTCCTTTTATTTTCAGTTGTCGACAATACAAAATAAAGAAGTACTAAAATTCATCGATTCACCAAATGCAGCGACAATTTTCATTTCGTGTGGGGGTGTAAGGTAGTTATACAACCCAGGCAACAGATAAAGGGTTGATTGAAGTTAGACTTGTCTATACCTGGATCACTTTCTGATATAAATTGTGAAAATTCTATAATCATCACAAAGCCCTATACAAAAACAGTTGGTTTTTATCATTTTATGGGAACAATTTTCTAGATTCTCTGTTTAATCACCATTACTACTTTTAACCAGAATAATGTTCAAATAAAAATGCACAAAATTTGCTGTAACAGTTTTCAACAGAAATTTGATACAGATATAAATCCACCAGTCAAAAAACTATCATTAAATAAACTGTTAATAAGTCAATTTCAACATAGGTTATACCATGGAACGATATCAACTAAAGGATAGCTGAAAATCAAGGAGCATTAAACAACTGTTTCATACCGGTTTTTTACATCACAACATTGGATTTCTATGAAACTACATAACCATCAATAGTTCTTTTCGTTTTATTTCGATGAAGTTAAACTGAAATAAAAGTTACTGGTAGATAGGTAGTTTTCGAATCTTTTTTGTCACAGATGTTTTCAGGGTTGGATCGATTATTCCAACAAATATCAACAGACAAAAATTAAAATAATTAGAATCTGTTTTTAATTTTCTCTAAAGAAGTTTGACAAGGTGATGAAAATCTTTCAGTGGTTTCAAAGATGTTATTTATTTAAATTAAATCGACTTCTTAAGTATGTATTTACAATATCGCTTGGTTTTGTGATCAAACAACAGATACTATGGACATGCTAAAATGGAAAGTGAATTACTTCATAATAACAACGTCCCTTTTTCTGTAGACAATATTTTAGTATTCTTCTATTTCAGTAAAGAATATGAAGTTTAGAAGCAATAAGAAATATGCGTTCCCTTCTATAAAAAAATTAATAGTTTTACGCAAAACACTTTGAAACTCATTTATTATTTAATAACTTTTCAACCTGATCGTCGAGATTTCAATGGTTTATTATATATATCCATTTCGCTCATAAGATACATAACACTTCACTACCCACTTGATTTAATTACAACCTCAAAATAACCATCAATTTATAATATAATGTGGATTAAATGTTGAAACATTCAGCTTTCATTCAGCACATGATGATAATTACCAACTTCCTTTCTGGCCTACGTTAGTTCAAGTGATCATGTAGTATTTTTGTGGCCCCTTATTTGACTATATTCAGATCGTATGCTATGTTTTTGAAATATACGTGCCACCAATCCTCAAATTTATCCATCGACTTCAATCGCGTTAGTGAATAACGGAATTAAATAAGTCAAACATGAGAATGAAATTTGAATACGTGTATTTCGTACACCGATTGATCTTGACAGACAATCAGGGGAACAAAGTGAACAAGAGAGAACGAAGCGAAACGAAATGACGCGCAGTGTAGAAGGTAAATGAGCCAATCCAATTAAATAAAGAGTCACTCAACACTTAGACAAAAACAAGTTACAGACACATAGTGAATAGAGTGAGCAATTAACACGCACTCAAAAATAGACAGAATTAACAAGTGGGTAAGTGACAAGGTCAAGATATGGCTTGAGAAGTATGAATAAATTGATTTGTCCAGAAGCTAGAATACCTATGTGAGATTAACATAGTACCAGCCGCTACGGTATCACTCGTACTCACATAGAAACCTTTCCTAGAAAATAAGTTATATTCTGTGTGTTATAATAATAAACTTAAAAGAGAGACGTATTCAAAATCCAAATCTCTAATATCCTACGTCTTATTTAATTTTCACCACCATTCCACTAGACATTAAAAATATATCGAGCCCTAAAACAGCATTACCAGGGTTTCATCATCCACGATTCCCCAAAAACTCTACAGTTCAACAGAAGTTTGGTTAAAAAAGGGTGAGCAAAATGTGTAAAACATTTATAGGTTAACGATAGTAGAAGAACAGTCAATAAATTTTACTTCCTAAAGTCTAAAGAATAACAGTACAGTCTATCCTCATAACATATATAGGTTTTTAGTTAAGAAACGGTTCATAAAAGTTAATTACGGTACTTCTCCATAATCAATTAATGCTCTTTTACCAGGTATAGCTTAAGTATTTACCTTTGAAATATTAGTGGAAAAAAAACTCAACTATAAGCAATTTATGATACATAAATGATAGACAAATTACTTAACTGAAGTATCTAACATAGTTATGAAACTACTTCAAAAAAATTTCAGTTAGATCTTTTATCTCAGTACAGAGAAGTGTACTACGTTATTTATTTTGAACCAATAAAAATTTACATAAGTTCAAAATGTGTAGGATTCATAATTTTTTTTTCAATCAGTTGAGACAACTGAAAATGCACACGATTCGATGAGCAACAAATTTTATCAGGAAAATTTCTTTAACTAGTGATTATCAGTTGTGATGCTTTATCTTTATACACATAAATGATTGCCTTCATAAGTTATGATATTCACAAAACAGAGAATGTTTTAAAAACAGACGTTTAAACTGATCCTGGTCTAAAAGTTTCAGTTACTTAATGAAAAAAAACAAGATTGTGAAACTTAGAGAGATCAAAATTAATTATTGCTTGTTTATAGTCTTAAACTATGCTCTTTCGTCCTAGTGCTCAAATGAAATAAAAAAGAAATCCTGTAGAAAGATTTTTGTCTCTTTAGAAACACTAGGTGCACAAAAGTAGTAATTTCAGTGTCTGACGGTAATTAACATTCAGGTACATAAAGCTAATGATATTACCGTTTGATGAAATAATAACAATAACTGTCTACTTTAACCACTAGTATTAATTCCTAGCAAGCACCAGGTGTAAGCGTATAAAATGACTTATTTTGATCTGATGTTATTGTAAACAAACTATCAAATAAAAACCTCAATTGAAGTGAATAGCTTATTTACATGAAATCTATCTTTTTATGCTTCTTAGTAAATACCTCAAAGGTTTATTTTAAGAAATAATTATTCATCCTCTCTAGAAAACAAATCTCAAACTAGGATGTGATACCTGTGGTCCGGTAATTGATTTGTTTGAAAATGCATTCAACAAAAAAATATCAACAATTGATAACATAATCGTTTAAAAATCCCAATCATATTAAAAGACTAATATTTGAACGAAGAATATTCTTTTCGATAAATTCTCTTCAGGTTCTACAATGCATGTAAATTTAGGAATGTCAAATCAAATTATTATTATTAATTTGGATTATTAATTTGGATATATAATTGTAGAACCTGAAGAGAATTTATCGAAAAGAATATTCTTCGTTCAAATATTAGTCTATTAATTGATAACATAGTAATACATAAATATTGACTATTACACTTCTCAGACGTGCGTAAGCATACAGATTTGTATGATTTAAGGAAAACCGAATCAATAATATTGTTAAGTAAAATTGTACTATGACCGTCAATTATAAAAGTACAAAACAACAAATATTTTGATCAATCTTTCATCAATTAAGTTATTCATAGCTGTTATAAAGACTTTTCACCTATTCTCATACATATATATATATATATATATATATATATATATATATATATATATATATATATCACTAGCCACATATTAATTAAACTGTAGTCAGTAAAATTGAAATTACTTCCTGTTTAGGGCTACAACTCACCAACGTGTTGTTCATTTACGGAAAAGCTTGTTTGATTTATTTCATGGTCAGTAAGAGTTTACATTAGCTAAAGAACACGTCAAAAGCGGGATGCAGTTAGAAGCTGTTTTGTGTGTACTCTACACTCTTTAGCGTCGTATCTAAAAAATCTTACATGGAACCAAATGTAAAAACATCAGATAAATTTGAATTCACTTAGTATTGTTTGTTTGGATCTTCCCATCGATGTGTTTAGGACTGCAACTGGTCAGTCTCTAATTGGCATATGTGCATACTGTGCGTATTGCCTCGATATACCTTAATTCACAAGCATGGTAAGCAGAGATGGATAGTGGCTAGCAGTGGAATCCAGGACGCGCGTTTCGTCCGAGTGGATAACGCGATGGCGTTTGAAGCGAGGGTACTGGGTTCGAGTCCCAGAGTGAACATCAACTCTGAGATGCAGGTACATCCAGCTGACGAGTCCCAAATAGGACGAAACGCGCATCCTGGATTCCACTGCTAGCCACTATCCATATCTGCTTTTCAGATAAATTTGTTTTCATTGTAGATAATAAGGAGAAAAATAACACAAAATTATTGGCAGACAATTTTTAATTATTAGGTGCCATTACTTAATCCCATAATAGATTGCAAAACAGGATGAAGTTTTTCACAAAAGATCATTTGTATCAGATTCAGATGGATTAGATGTTAATTCAAGGGAACCATTTTCTGAGATATATAGATTTAATGAGGTTTAAAACAAGATACAAATCACAGAGCTTCATAGACAAACAAGTTTTATCAGTGTAGGGTTGTGGAGATTATTAGGTTTTTGATTGATATCGTGAATCGATGAATGTTAGACGACCATTGAAAACTTGGAAGCACTGGACTGTCGTTTCGCTCTAGTATGGGACTCCTCAGCAGTGTGCATCCATGATCTCGAACTCGGAACCGGAAATCCCGGGTGCGGGATCGTGAATGAGGGCTGCTGAGGAATCCCATACCGGAGCAAAACGGTCGTTCAGTGCTTCCAAGTTCTAGCAGTCATCAACTCGTGATATCAATCGAAAACAAATTTTAACTTTAAAGATAAACATTCTGGAAAATGGTTTATACAAATTTAGGTATAATTAAACAAGGTTATTGCGCTATGACGCGTTTAAGTATCTTTTACATTCAACCCCGATTGTTTTTGGATGAATACACAAACATGTTCAAATGTAACTGAACCTCGAGATACAACTGTTTATTACTGAACGCAAATACAACTCCATTATTAAATTTAAGTCGTAAGTAAGAAACACTGTATGATTTGACAAGAGAATGAACTAAGCATTAATCCTATCTTAATCTATGTGAAGCTCTATAAATCAACGTATGTAGTATTTAATTATGCAAATTCTTATCAATTTTGTAATTTTATTCCTACAAATTTAATTAATAACTCCGCCTGTAGCTCCTCCAGGGGCTACTGCCGGTCCCAAGCCCGGGTAAAGGAGGAGGGTTGGGCATGGGGTTAGCGACCCCATCCCGTAGAAAATCAACTCGCTAAAAAAACGCTAACCAGTAAGTAAGTAAATTTAATTAATGTGAAATAGTTATATAATTATGACTAGAAAATGAACTAGATGTGACGTATTTCCTTTTTATTTCATCTGCCTTTAGCTCTTCTAGAGTAACTGCCGGTCCCAAACCCACACAAAGGAGAAGGGGTGGGCATGGGGTTAGCGACCCCATCCCGTAGAAAACTAACTTGCTAAAATAACGCTAACCAGAAATTTAGCTATACTTAACAGTAAACATTTTCCTAATTAATAAACCCAGAAATGTGCTTACAAATAAAACTACTACTCAAAATAATTATAAAATATTCAGTAGTTTCTTTACGACTTACCATTATTTTAGTTAAATTATAATTTTTTTTTCTTTCATAATGAGTTCGTCAAAACAATTGTCACATGGAACAACAGTATAGATAATAAGAACTTAATAATTAAATTATATTGATTTAATTTTCACTACAACATCTGATATAATCAGTATTTTTCGAAACATCTCTATTATCATTATTATTATTATTATTATTATTATTATTATTATTATTATTATTAATGTAATCAGAATCATCTGATGTACTGATCTTTTAAACAACCAAATATATGCTTTAAAGTATTATTTATGTATGCCTATTTCATAAAAGAAACTCTTATTTGTATAGAGTAAAAAATTTTTTTAAAAAAAAGGTTTCACTACAAAATAACCAAAAAAAATGGTTTTTCTTTATCTTAAGATGTTATCACATTATTTCCCGTTTATAGTTTTATGAAGATATGTAGTCAGTTTTATCAATTATCTGTTCTGCTTATTGCTCCACTAATATTTGGTTAAAAATAAAGTGGTTTCATAGGTTATGTTATAGTCTCAAACAGTTTTGCACTTACTTAGAAGAAAATCAAATAAACACGTTGGTGATTTTCATCTTCCCTATTATAATATTAATTATCATACTGTTACCACGGTAGCGGCCTATGCTCCTCCACGAGAGGTAACAGGCGTAAGTAAGTAAGTAAGTTACTACGCTAATAACCTTTTTATGGAATAAAATAATTGTGTAAGTTGAAAAAGAAATAAGCGTTTCTTTTATCATTGGAGTTAAATTTGAAATCAAGCATAATTTTAAGTTAATGTTCACAACAATTAGATACATAAATAAATGTAACCCTAAAGCCTTCTCTGAAGAAGAACAACTAACAAGTAGGTTGTGAGCAACAGTGAGACAGAATTCACAACAAAGAAACCTAACAAATATTTATGAAATGAACAAATACACTGTCATTGAATAATCTCGACAAACAAGCAAAAATGAAACTCTGAGATGCAAGTACATCCAGTTGATTCGTCCCAAATAGGACGAAACGCATGTCCTGGATTCCGCTGCTAGCCACTATCCATCTTTGCTTACCAAGTTATAAATGATGTACATCTATTTGGAGGAATCGTTATTAGATAGTGAACTCACGAGCATTTGTCGTATAATCGAGACATAATAAAACACAATTTAAATATGATGTTTATTATTTGACTCATTTTATAACATTTCAAAGCTTGTTTACCTTTTTTAACAAAATTGTAATAGAAAATCCTAAAATTAACTGCTCCTTCAGTACTATATAGATGATTTACAATGAAAAAAACCTTATCGTTTTTATTCTATTTTAAAGAACTTATTGTAACGAAAGTGTTTGGTTGCATAGGTGACCAGAGGTACTCAACAAAAAACCTTGACCCTAGGTTTCGCACTGTTTGGGACTCATCACCGAAGTATACCTACATTCCTGAGGTAATTCATACAAACACTTAATATCTCGACATATTAAAGACGATGTTGAGTCATTTAGACTGGTGGCCATAACCCAGCATGATTGACAGGTTTCGGTCAGAAATAATGAACTAAACAAACCTGACAATGGTCATTACTCATTAATCAATCAACTGTAAAGCGTATGCTTTGTAAAAACTGTCTTATTATCATCTTTATAAAGCCCAATAGAAATAATTAGTTAAATACATTGTTTTCATCCAGAATTTCTGTCATAAATATATATTTAAATATACAAAAATGTGTTTGGTATTGAATAAGCGCGATTTAGAGTCTTGCTGAACTCAATAAATTTCTGGTCGCTTATTGGGTAAATCATATACAACTAGTTGACTTACTTACTTACGCTTGTTTCCCTTCATGGAGGGGCATAGGCCACTCAACGGCATTCTTCATCGAACTCTATCCTGAACAATCTTTTACAGTTGTTATTCTTCCTTTTGATGTCTGCTTTCAATTCTCGTCTAATTGTGTCCTTTTGCCCTCCTCTCTTCCGTTTCCCTTCAGGATTCCAAGTTAAGACCAGGTGTTCTAGGTGATCTTAAATTTTATTTCATTCTTTTATTGTTGAGATTGCTTTGTCAGACGAGTTACAGATTCAGGGTTATTTATAATACTAAGTTTAGTCACCTGGATTAACAGTATAATATCACTAACCAACCAGGCTATCTGATGTAACGGCTGGTTTACATATATATTATAATAACCTTGGAAGTAAAGTCACTAAATAAATCTAAATAGCAGAAATATTCGAAAATAAATAATTGTATATACTTACTTGCACCTGAAAAGGTTCCATGCCATAGGTTTCGATTTTTGATGCTTCATCGATGAATTTTTCCAGAGCTTCAGTTTTAGACATGCCACTTTGGAATTAGTAAACAAAAAATTATAATTCATACTTGCAAATCTATTTGTTTGTATTTGAAATTTCAAAATAATTAAGTAATTTTACTTGTAACATCAAAGTATGTGTAATACAACGTATATATTAACAGGGAGCAAATAAAACAGACATGAGACCGTCATTTTTAAATGTCGAATGTTCAAATAAACAGAAAACTAACACGTAACGGTATAATTATTCATCTCAATTTTTGGATCTGGATGTTTTAAGTAACTGAATTCCATAATATTTGAAAACGAGCCTAACAGAAAATTATTATCTTTGTGTTATTCTATGCTAAGCTTAAAAACATAAATCTCTATCCGGTTTATTTTAATCTTTGAATGACTTTAAAAAGTACCGAATGAGATTTAACTAATTACTATACATCAATAAATACGGCTAATCCGATTCCTTATCTTTTAGTGGTAATTCTGATTACGTACTGTGAAGTAGGCTAAAAAACAAACGGTATATCTAACACTGGACTGTCGTGCTTCCAGGTTTCCCTTGGTGGTCTACCTTCAATTGACTCATGCTTTTAACTATAACAAATGGTTATTCAATGTTATTACAAAAGTGTTAAATGTTCTATTATCCCCTGATTTATTCTTCCGCATTAATCTATTTTATATAGCTTTATTCTCATAGACTACTTTGTTTTTTCAAATTTCCTTCTTTAAATGAATCATTATTGTGTTAAATTGTTCTATCATTTTCAAGTATTACGTAACATTCATGAAATTTCAAATATGTATATGTTTATATCAGAACTTTCGTCTAAATTAGAGCGAATAGTTTCACAGCATTTGGGCGCCGAGTTTATGTAAGGACATTAAATAGTAAGAATATATTAGTAAAATCTCAGTGAATGGATTCGAAGTAAATCCAACGTTTTGCTTGACAATCTGATCCAAGCTTTTTCAAGGAAATAGAATCGGGTCATGTTTGTAAAAGGTGTCAAATGTAAATTTAGAACATTATGTAGGGATATATACATGTATTAAAAATAGTCAATATTTGCATAAAAATGTACATTCCAAATAGAAATTTTCTATTTCAAAAAATAAGACATTGAACAAATTAAATCATAGTGAAATAAAACAAAAATATTTATGATTTTATACAAAGATTTGTGAAATTTTAAACAGAAATTGGGCGCCCAACAAACTGGTCTGAGTTTCTTTAATGAAATACTACTGGAATGATTTAAATTTTAATGACTTATTCAATAGATTATTCCAAATGTAATTTTTACATTCAATATATATTATTATTATTGTTATTCATATGGACTATAGTTCATAAGTAATATAATCGAAACAAACATTCCATTTACAATTATTTTTAATTTGTTTCATATTTCAGTCACAATCATTTGCTTTAGATTATTTCATCACTAAGGAATATCTAGTAGTAGGGTAAGAATGATATTATTAAAACAGATGTTAAGAATACATAGTATGTTAACATGGTAAAAGATTTTATTGTGTTTGTTATCTCTCAAATCAAAACAAATGTATACCAAAGTGATTGTATATCCCACAAATTAAACTGTTATAGATAACTGTTATGTATTTATTTAAGCATTAGAATAAAGAATTAATATTTATGGACAAATATGTTGGTACGTTGATCAGTGTTCTATCTTAAGGTGGATGTTGACTATTGATGTAAAACAAGTGGGTAATTTGATAGTATAGCAATCTTCACAATCTACTTACAGATATATCATTCCGTATAAGACTCTGAGGAATCTTATACCGTCTTAAGTTTCACACTTTACGGTTTAATGTGGTTAAGTCACTTAGTAGTTGTTCATTGTAATTAAACGTAAAGTTATTCACTGGCTGATACATTAAAATAAAACTCCATCCATATAGGTTTAAACAGTTTGCTTACACAAGACTATGGAGTAAATCTAAGTATATATGAATGTGAACTGTTAAATGGGTTTCAAACACATAAATATTAATTAATATTCTAACTGGAATGAAAATTAACCACCTATTGGTAACCAAAGCCAATTTACTTCTTATTAATTAATTTTATCAAATAAATTTCATTGTGGTCAACACTCTCAGTGGACCATTATCATAATACAAACTCTTTCTCTCATGATTGGAGATAATCGGCGGAATATCCTTAAACTAGGTTTTATACAAGTCGGTGCTTGCCATCAAAATCTACCTTCAAAAACTAGAGGCCATTATTATTCACCCCCAACTATGAGATTGAATGGTAGGCGTCTGAATCCTACTTCGCAGATCAGCTCTCTGATTTTGAGAAATATGCCCTACTGAATAGCTCCAAGAATTACTTGAACTGAGTCTAAAGCTTAATATCGGTTATCTTCAACCATCCGATATAATATTTTACGTGTCCCACAAAAAATTTAAGATGCATTGTTAGTCCTATTTCGATTTGTGCTGTTAAAATCGTGATTGCCATTGGTATAAAAAAAAACCTGCAAACATTGAAAATACATTAGGCTACAAATCTATGATAGCATCTTCTTATTGAACTTTACAATCACACTACATTGATATGAAATTTTAGAAACAAACCGTTAGTTTTAATGCTTACATGATTTGTTCAAGTTGATTTTTGATTCGCCGTACAATAGGTTTTGTTAGTTGAGGAAGGACACGCATACCACCAGGAATAGTATCCACGTCAAAGCCTTGAGGAATCTCCTTGAGACCATGTTCAGCTATATTGAATAAGTATTTTTTTGGGAAGAAATTAACAAAACAAAAGACCTGTCAGACAAACAAGGGTAACACTTATAGTGTTCAGCTGGTTTTCTTAATCTTATTTGTTTTCACCAACAAGAATATGTTTAATAGTGAAGTAATTGTACATTAAAAAATTTGGTGAAAATGAAACACACAACTGAATAGAACCGAGTCGGTAAGGTTGAACTACGTCATACTGATGAGCCTACAAATGTCAAAATAGTTATTTTTAAGTGAAATCCAGAACGTTAAAACAAACGGAATACTCCTTATGAAGAGTTTTTTTTTAAAAAAAGGATCTTAGTTGCTAGACCACTTAAGACTGATAAGGGAAAGCATTGTGTATATTGTAATAAAAGATTTTTTCGATAAGCATACCCATCTGATAAACATTATATTCAGCGCATTACATAGTGATAATCAGCTCTTTCTCCTTTGTTCAAAGTGAACATCTATGAACATCCTGTATTAACCATAGAGAATTGTTTACAGAAGTAGTTATAGTTTGATAAAGGATCAAAAACTAAACTGAATTTTTATTGATCGAATGTTTCTTTGTACTAAAAGTAGTCTACTTTACAGTGAAAAGATCAGTTACAAACCTCTCAAAGCAAGTAAAATCACATACATTTAGTTTTCATCACTGTTTTATCAGTAGATTGTTAAGTTTGACAATCTTTGTAATTACCGAACAATGACTAACAAAATCCTTTTAAGACCATTTCTAGTCTCGGTCAATTTTACTAGTATATTATAGTTTTCCTTTCTAGAATGAAAAAAACCATCATGCCTTTTTGACAAACTTATATGTTGAAGCCTTTGAGTGATATCGGATCGTCTTTTTCACTACTGACTGCTAACTGTAAGTTCATTCATATTTCATAGTTACTTTGGGAGACATGTTGATGTATCATCTTCGGATATTTGAAACTAACCGACTTTGTTATAGGATGGATCAAACCTATATATATTCATTAACACTTCAAATTATTGTTTTAAAATTTCAACCTAAGAGTTTATATGAAACTTATTGATCAAACAAATTGTATTTATCCTACACAAATTCATTCTATAAACTGAAGAGAATTGACAGCAAAGGATTCCTTCCTAACTCTACAACAAAAAATAATAATTTTGGATGATTAACACTTGGCCTACAAGTTATCTAGCCGACAAATTATACACGAAACAACATCTGGTAAGCTAATACTTAAAACCTGAAGTGATTAAATTTTTAAATTCTTATCTGCTTATCATTACAAGTAATGATTTGTGGTAGTTCCTCCTACTTAATTGTTCTAAGGAATTCTCTCCACCTACATGAAAATGGTGATTATCATGGTGTCTAATAGTTAGAAATAGTCAGGAATAAAACCTGAAACTTAGTATCAGGTTTATTGGTTCTCATTCACAAAACCAATCTTTTATTCTAATAAGATGTATACTCTCTCGTAGATCGAAACCTATTCACAAGTTACTACTTCAGTTAAAATTGTTATTATTGAGATATTTAAGTCCCAACTGACTTTCTTTAACATTAAGTCGAGTTTGGTAACCACCGCTAATGAGCGGACAATCAACATTCGGATTTTAAGAACCTTAAACTATAATAAACACATAACCATTAAATTCACTTAGTATTGTTTGTTTGAATCTTCCCATCGATGTGTTAGGACTGCAACTGGTCAGTCTCTAATTGGCATATGTGCATACTGTGCGTATTGCCTCGATATACCCTTGATTCACAAGCATGATAAGCAAAGATGGATAGTGGCTAGCAGTGGAATCCAGGACGCGCGTTTCGTTCTATTTGGGACTCGTCAGCTGCATGTACCTGCATCTCAGAGTTGATGTTTACTCTGGGACTCGAACCCAGTACCCTCGCTTCAAACGCTATCGCGTTATCCACTCGGCAACTGAGTCCTGATAGCCACTTGCTTGTGCGATGGGATGAAGTTTAAATTCACTTAGTATTGTTTGTTTGGATCTTCCCATCGATGTGTTCATAATGTTGCCTAGTTTGCTTTTCAATTTCGGTACAACCTTATACCAGTTTAATACAAAGCCAGATAATATTCAACCACAAAAATTTCAATACTATATATAATAGTTAATAAAAACCACTTTTTTCAAATAAGTCATTCATGTGTGGGTGTGAATTAAAAACCATGCTGAAGAAAAACATGGATATGAATATCTGACATTGTGAACAAAATAGAAAACACTTGATATTTCAGAATAATTATTTAGAAAACAAACAATGACCGGACAACTATCATTAGGTTCACATCTGTAATCTACAAACTGAATGATGAATACTATGATCACTAGTTGTGGTACCAGTTTATATGTTAAGCCCATATACTTTATTCTAGCGTCTGGCCAAGCCAATTCGCTTGTCCATTATGAGTCATATTTTGATCATGTTCATTATTCGCTTATTAACCTTGACTATATTTTTTATGAGTGTAATTCTGTGTACTCTTCGTATCCTATTCATCATATGTTTGTCATTCATTTTTGTCTGGTTATAAATACTGAGTAATGCTTTCTCATAGCGGGTTGGCTTCCCCGCCATCTCCAATAAGCATTATCTTTCGCTTCGCTCTCTAGTTGGCTTCCCAGCCATCTCCACTACGCATCGTCTCTGCTTCGCTCGCTAACATATATTCATGTGCTTATAACCTTCTGGTCTGCATCATTTATCAATAAAAATGTAGTTGCCACTTCCTTTTGCCTTCTGATGTTATGCACCGTTAAGATTGGTATTATAATGTTTATCAGGGTGAACGATTGATGAAGCACGGCAATACATAGTTATAAGTTATGAAATTTAATAATAATGAATGTTAGTTCATTAGTTATTATCATTATTCTGTATAACTGAGAAGATTAAAACTGTTCCATAAGTAGTGCAAAGGTTGAACAATCATAGCTAGTAATTATCAGAGGAAAAATTCATATCCCTCAGTTACTATCATGTTTATTCATTACATGATAATATATTATATCTTGTTTCATTTTTTTCGAAATATTAATTTTTAATATATATCTAACCTTAAATTTCATTAAAGTTGTAACTTCATCAAAGTAAATTATATTTGTAATATTAAAATTAATTACCTTGTATAGCGTATGCTGCCAATTCATAGATCTTCGATGCTTCTGCTCTTAAACGACCAACATAAAAATCCCTTCTCAATTGAAGGAAAAGTAAATAACTAAAAGTTGAAACAAATAAAAGTAAGCATAAGATAAGTAATCAGTTAATATACAAGTTCATTTATGTAAAATATGACAAATGTGTATATTATAATTAAAATTGAGAATAAACAGGGTTATACTATGTGAATCCTATACAAAAGTTCAAGAATGATTATTAATGGATAATGCTAAATGTAAAATGAATATTAAACATGAGAAGAGATAGATTGTTTAATAAGCAAAAAATAATCAATGAGGTTCACAGTGTGAATTGCAAGCAATTCAGTTATCAAGGAATCCAGTTGTTTATTTATTTTAAGCCAGGTTGATATTGAATGATCATAATACTATCTTACAAACTGAATTGAACTAAAACTATGAACGACTGGTTGACATATAAGTTGAAAGTAGTAAATTTACTGAGAGAATCTCATGAATTTTCTTAATTCAAACTGTTAGGATATTCACAAGAATATCCCAACAATTATCTCGAATGTAAAATGGTATGTTTTTAGACTCTTCACATAATTCGCATGTTATTTCCTATTGGCCATTATTTATAGTGTCCTAACTATGACTTTCATGTGTCGTTTCCCTATTGGTCAATTTTGAGTCGTCCTAATTATAACCTTTACGTGTCCTTCCTTTCCATTGGTTACTGTTAATAGTCATCTTAACTGTATAAATATGCCTTTTCTGTAAACCATTGTTGTTCTGCTACTGACCCCATAAACAATTTTCATTTAACGGCTGTGTTCTGATTTATTGGAGTTGGGGAACAGTATTGGGGTCGAACTAGGATATCTGAATTTGGTCAATCGGTAGAATTTCGCGTAGTCCTATAGCAATACGCTATATTTCGCGTTATAACACAAACCCTGTAATGATTGTAAATATTCATTACTAAGGAGTAACTTTTAAAAACTGGGAAGTTGGTATATGTTAAGGAAAGTGAATTTAGTTGGTCACTGAGTGTGAGCAAAAAGTCATTTAGTTTACTGTTTACAAATGTGTACTTCCCTTTCCTCTTATTGATTTCTACTCCTCAATAACTGAGAGTTACTTCTTGTAATCGTGTGGAATAAGATATTGTCTAGCATTACTCTGGTTTTCTATTTTGTTTGTTTCTAGGGTATCCGATAGAAAATGATCCAGTCTGTGTACAGTGTACCGTTTGGATATTTAATCTAACGGTACTATAAAGTCGGTTACCAGTGTTATTATCATAGTACAGTCATATCATACGTAGAAAGAAAACCATTTTAATGTTCCTGTTATATCACAAGCAATAAGTAGTGGTTTTATCATAGTTCGATACTGAAAGGTGATAACTAAACATTTCAAAGCTAGAAATCTTCAAATATTGGATTTTAAGAGAGAAAATTTTATCATATGTACTGAGATGAAAGTAGGTGATAAAGACGAAATAGTGAAAACAAAATACTGTTTCATCTCGTTATTCAAATAACGATGAAGGATTTTCTACTTGATGAGATCCTTCACTTTAGATTTTATAATTAATTAACTTGATAAAAATTACTATTTAATATTAAGCGTTTATTCAGCTTGTTTGATGTTTCTCAATACAGAACAATATTATTGTACTGGTAATAGTAATCACATAATTTACAAATTCTTTATTTGTCTTCCCAAGATGAATAAAACAAAGTATACTTCTCTATCACAACACAGACTTACAGTACTTTATCTCATATTTTAGTTGTTATTTAAAAATTTTTTTTAAAGTAAAGAATAATTGCTTCATTAGTACACAACAGAAAGAAGTATAAGAACTGGATTTTTTCAGTAAATTTTTATGTAGTTGAGACTCAATTCCTGTTGTCAGGAAATTTTTTTCGAATGAATCTCACTAAGTTTCAAACTAAAATAAAATCATTTTTTTATCTCCCTCTGCTCTACTAAAACAGTAAAAATTTACTGTATAGTTGGTTGATCACATTTGTGACGTTTTCAATGTCAACAGATTATTCGAAATTAAACAAGACCTAATTAACAACAAAATCCAAATCATCTTGGTCCTGGTTAACTGATAAAACACCTTTTGTCTATATTTTAATTTCAAAAAAATTACCAATCGTTTTATTGTGTTTACATACAAAATCAAGATACAAGTTTATCTATATGACAAAACTTGTTATATAAAAAACAACGGTGCATAGCATTTTATAAACTGGAAATTTGGCTACAATTCTGGTAGGGTAGGTCAGAAATTATAAGCATAAGTATCTGACATGGTGATCAGCAATTATCATTACACCTTTTCACTTGTATGATGTGAAATTTACGAAGTTTCATACTAATGTCTTTAACAAGACTTCCCAAAACTGATCTAATTACACTTCAGTAAATGCAAGTATTAGAGAACATTATGAGCATGAACATATAATCTAATGATTTTTTGCGTAATATTTCATCTTAACAAATTAGTATGATCTATAAAGCATATACATATATAAGTCAACAAACCTGAATGTGAGTTTTATTCGATACCTAACTAGATTAAATGTATTCTAAAATACTTATTACTATTATTATTAACAACTCAGAGTATTCACTAACAAAATAAATTGAAATATCAGAAGGGGGTTTCGTGGAGATTTTTGTAATTTTATAGATGAGATCATGAGTCAATTGAATCAAGACTACCATGGAAAACCTGAGAGCACTGGACGGCCGTTTCGCCCTATTGTGGGACTCCTCAGCGGTGCCCATCCACGATCCCTCCTCGCGAGATTCGAACCATGACCTACCAGTCTCGCGCCAGAGCACTTAACCGATAGACCACTGAGCCGGCTGGCATCCAACTGTGTTAATGTTTAACCTAAACCAATCCACGAAATTGCGCGACCATCATCCATTGTACTGAGGTAGATAGCTGTCTCTACCTAATATGGGTGCCGGCTTAGTGATCTATCGGTTTTCCATGGTAGTCTAACTTCAATTGACTCATGATCTTATGTATAAATTGAAATAGGTTAATCATCCATTCACAAAGTTGAACCGAAAATGTTGCCTTTATTTGTAATAATAATTTTTTACCATCCATGTACCAGAATGAAAGGCCTTAAAATTTAAGTGTAAATGTATAAGAAATTTCATGTTTTTTTTCTACGTGAAGTTCAATTATTCGTTGTAAAATGTAAAACTTTGCTCCAATCATGTTTAATCTTTATAAATTCTCTGGTTATTTCAAATTAAAATATTTATTAGTATTTATAAACCGTATTCTAAAACAAAATCTTAATAGTTGAATTCATGAATCCACGATCCTGCGCTGCTGAAGAGCTCCACACTAAAACGAAAAAGACATCCAGTGCTTCCAGGTTTTCAATGGTGCTCTAGCCTAAATAGACCGGTGAATTTAACTATTAAAATTAGTACAATCTCAATAAACCCCCATTCTAATACAAAAAATCTCCCTAACTATTTTAAATATAGTGAAAGCATATATATATATATATATATATATATATATATATATATATATATATATAATTATTTACAGTTCATTTTGTATTGGTTGTTTGAACGTTCCCATTGATGCTTAAGATTGCAATTGATCAGTCTTTCATAGGCATATGTGCATCCTGTGCGAATTACTTCTATATTGACTCAAGTCACAAGCATTATAAGCAAAGATGGATGGTGGTTAGCAATGGAATCCAGGACGCGCGTTTTATCTCACTTGGGACTCGTCAGCTGAGTGTACTTGTGTCAATTCCGGGACTCGAACCAAATAGCGTTCGCTTCAAACTTCATCATTTTATCTGCTTAGCTACCGAGTCCTGATAACCAATAACTTGTATACATTCTGGATTTCACTACTAGCCATTATTCATATTATCATTTACAATGTTACAATGAACATCATTTGTTCAATTAATAATATTTATTAGAGATTTTAATTCATGGGATACAATTAATCAACCAGTGTAAACTGGAATATTTGATTTTCGTTGTAAAATGTATGAAAGTCTTTTTTGCTTGATAACAATGATTATTAAAAATATAATTTAGTCTGATTATTACTATGTCATTATAACGAAATCGTTCAATACTTACCGAATTGTTTCATTAGGGAAACACGTCAATGGATTATTTGGATAGTAAATAAATCGAAAACCAAATGTGGAATTTTTAACTTCTATGAATATAAAACAGAAGATGTAAAACAAATAGGAAAGGTAGTCAACTAATTATGCATCAAAACTATTATGTGCAATATAAATTAGCACATGTAATTAGGTTGAAATAAAAAACTTTTAACAGGTTCATAAAAAAAAAGATGGATAGTAGCTAGCAGTGGAATCCAGGACGAGCATTTTGTCCTATTTGGGACTCGTCAGCACATATGACAACAAGAGACTGATCAATTGCAGTCCTAAATAACAATGGGAAGATACAAGTAAACAACACCTAGTGAATGTTTGTAAGTTACAAAATAATACAGTTAGATTTAACAGTTATTTTAGATGATAAATCATGTGAATTACTCAACATGTATTATATCACTAATAATTTTGAAAACGGTACAAATGTAGCATATATACAATCATGGCATCGACTATTTTATAAGTAAAATTTAAAGGTATAATGATTAGTATAAGTCAGTGTTTTATCGATTTGTCATCAATGGCAAAGATCACTTGGTTATCCTTAAGTGTATTGAATCATTAATATATGTTTTATATATAGTTGAAATCATGAGTCAATTGAATCCAGACCACCATGGAAAACCTGGAAGCAATGAATAGCTGTTTCGTCCTATTGTGGGACTCCTCAGGTTTTCCATGGGTGTCTAGCTTCAATTGACTCATGATTTCAACTATATATAAAAATTACTAAAAAATCTCCACAAACAATCCCCTATTAATAGATATGTTGATTTTTTTTCAATGTTTCTTCAATTAAAGTTGAAATTCATGTTTAATGAAGTAAATTTAAACTTAAAAACCTTATTCAATGTAAAGAAAAAACAGTTTAAATTCTAGTTTTTTCATATTAAAGATCAAAATACTTAGTAAATGGTATTAGATTAGATAAGCTTCTAATATAAAATTGTAGTGTTATATCTCTTCTATAAACGTGTTTTTTCTGTAAGCTTTTTTTAAGAAACGAATTTCTTATAACTTCAATAGTTGAGATCATGAGTCATTGAATCTAGAGCACTATGGAAAACCTGGAAGCACTGGACGGCCGTTTCGTCCTAGTGTGGTACTCCTCAACAGTACGTACTTACGATCCCACCTAGCGAGATTCGAACCCAGGGCCTGTCTTACAACTGAAAAAAGGGGCATTTAATTTATTTATCTTAATCACTCTATCTAAAATTGTAGGTTTAATGATTAATGAACAGGTTAACATTACAAGTGGTCAATAAATTAGTTTGAAGAAAAAAACAAACAGTTAATGTCTAATAAATTAGAGTCATATATTCATTTGAGAAAAGTAATCGATTAAATTGTTTACAGTATTTATTACTTAATATATCCTTTTTAAAATAAACTTCGAATAACATGACACTTTGTAAATGAATATTCCATAAGTATGAGGATAAAAAATGTATTTGGGTCACATACACCTAATGTATGGTTATATCTTGGAAAGTTAAAAGAAAAATCATTTGATATTGTTAGTTTGAATCCTCCCATTGATATTTAGGGTTGCAATTGATCAGTCTGTTATTGGCATATGTACATCCTGCGCCGATTGTCTAGACATTGCTTTAGGTTCGAGTCTCGGTGCGAGCATCAACTCTGGGATAGAGGTACATACAGCTGACGAGCCCCGAATAGGATGAAACGCGAATCCTGGATTCCACCGCTAGCCGCCATTCATCTTTGTACATAAGAATGTTTAACGTTCAAGGATAATTAAACTAACACGTAGTACCAATTAATGAAGTTAGTAATCATCAGTCTAAATATTGTGAGAGCGTACAGTCACAATGACCAAAGTCTGTGAGTCAAAATTATATATATATAATGAATTAGGCCCAACCAATTAACAATGTTTAAGATAAACGTCACATAATAATCGAAAAGTATGATATATACTCACCTTTAAGCTGCTTACTAATTTTGTCATTTAAGTTGATCCATTGCTAAGCAAGAAATAAGAAAACGAGTGTTATCAGATAGTAAGTGGTTAAAAGTATTTCAATTAAACGTAACATAATTTAAAGCGAATGGTAGCTTAAGAATAAGATATATGGACTGAATTTAAACGAACTGATAGTATAAACAATAATGACAGCGAATGCAAAAGAATTGAAATATTATGAAGCGAAATCAACACAAAAATCCATGATATTTACAGGTATCCAGGAGAAAGGCGACTGGTAGTACGTTTCAAGAAGAATCACCGGTATAACACAACAGACTGGGTTACTATTCCCAAACTTTTAAACATGTGGACCACCATGCAAACAGTTGTGATTATTTTCTTCGAACAGATGATTGAAGATCATTTTTAATTGACTTTTGATTCCTATCTTTAAAATGTTCAGTGATATTTCTGTACTTATTTTGATGTAAGAATATGTTGCAAATGTCACATGAATAATTTAGAACTAACTGTGGATATAACAACAAATCAATATATCCATTCTCATGAGCTGTTACAACTTGAATGTATTGACAATCAATTAACCTTTTTCTTCAACAATTTGGCAGTTTTATCATGATCATTAATAATGATGATTAACAATGCTTGTGATTAGAATAGGTATATACTTTACTAAATAAGCTGTTTGGTTGACTAGAAGTAATTTGTTAGTAATATCAGAGATTCATCTGAATCTTTACAACCATTGCTTTATTATTGACTTAACCTGGAAACACTGGACGGCTATTTCGTCTTAGTTGGTGAATCCAGAATTCAAAGCCATATTATTTAACTTCTAACATTAGATGCCCAAAGCCTTTTAAACATAAAATACATAATACATTTTAAGAACAAAATACATTTAAAGTCACATGGTATTCAAACATACGGCTTTTGAGAAAAAAACAAATACTGAGTGTACGATAAATGTATTAATACGAAATAGACAGTAGAAAGTATACATACAAAACATCACACCTCAGAAGCAAACTTTTGTTTTAAATCTTTGTTCAATCACATGATCTTTTATTAAAAAACCAAACAGAACACAAACCATTCACTGTTTAACACTTACACTACTTAACTTATGAAGTAATTACAATATTATTTCGGTTGGAGGAAAGTCGGTTGATTGTTAAAAGTATGTTTCACATTATTAAGGTCTTAACACTTTTCTTCTAATAGACACAGGTCCTTAATGTTTCAACCTTTATTTCTATTGAATTTGAGTTTGAATATCATTTTCATTTTTTTCTACGAAATCATTCCATAAAAACTAATAAAATCTTCTTTTCTAACGTATATAACACTTCTTGTAAGTGATTCTTTTGAAACTGAGTAGTTCTCTTGATACATTGTCTTATATAATTTCTATTTAGTCTATTAAACGTTTTAAAAAGCAGAATTCAAGTATTACGTAGACTTTTACGAAGTCCTATACCAATGACTACAAATAATAGTGTTTTAAAACTTCACCGGACTGGTAAGATATTTCAACTTTCTTGAAACATTTTCAACAAGTTAACCATTTTCAGAGTTATCTTAGTAAACTCTATCAGTATACCAAGTATTTTGGTCATTTATATTTTGGAAATAGTTAATCCATTGACAGAATATGTTCATCTATTTTATTCTGATACTTATGAGAAGATACTATGAAATTAATGATCTATGACAAATCGTAATGAGGGGTGATTACATATATTCACCTTGAAATTGCTAAACGATGATTCTAGGATGAGCATTAATTATCCTCAACGTAATAGTCGCTGTGTCAACGATTAGTGATCAGTTATGAAAAAACGATAAACATTGAAAGGTTATTGTCAATCATACATCTATAATTAATCATAAAGTTTTTTTTCAATAAATAACAAGTTTTAACACAACAAAACCACTTACATTCATACCATTATTGTCAGAATAACGAAGTCCAAAATAAGATATATATGGGAGAACATGAAGACGTTCACAGACAACTTCAAGTAAACATCTTCCAAACGCTTTATTCTAAAGAAGAAGAAAACATTTAAAAAGATTTACTTTTTCGGTGTATGTCTATGATTGTGTAATAAAAAGATTTTATTAACATATAAAACTTACGTTTAATTTAAAGACAACTAAATGATTGGTATGAACAGAATTTCTGAGCTCTATAAGAATTATAGTTTAGTTGTTTAGGTTACATTCAAACTGCTTAATATTTCAAACATAATTTGGCAACGCTACTTATTTGTTATTTCACAGAAATTCTTCAAACCATTATTGCAGAACTAGAGATTTGAAAAATCTCTTGAGTCAGTATATGACTCAAGTTGGCTAGTAGCTCAAATTGAGCAACCTTTAACAGTATGTATAGAGCAACTATGTTTTCCAAGCAGTAGCTATCATGCATCATTAAAATAATATTTCATATGATAGTCTGGTGAATTAATCAGTATATGTTTCTATCTAGGGTGTCTATTTTTTCTTACATATTTACGAAGGAGAAAGACACTTGAATATGTAATCTAAAACATTGAACCAAAGGTTTAAACAAATTATGCGGCAACTAATCAATAACTGGTATTCATCATGTACTTAATATTTAAACAGTTTGATATACTTTGCAACTCTTAAAATCGAATTTAAAACAAGCCAAGCCTTGTTTGGCGTGGGTTGATTTTTTATAAATTGACTACTTGCATAACACATGACTATGAAAATTACTTACATACTGAGACATTAAGTTAAATAAACACCTACACAATTTCATTCACATATTTTATGAATGAGTGTCTTCAAAAATTTCAAATTACATTGTACATATCGAAGTTCACTTAAAGTTTACAGATTTTTTTCAAACAGTGTTATCTTAGTCACTAATAGTTAATGATTATAATTAACATATTTGCAAATCCGTTTAGACCATAACGACCCTTAAATAAATCTAAGATAACAAATAGATACTACCGTTTTTCAAAGTAAGTTGATTAAAGAGAACTAAATCACTTTTTTTACGTGACCACAATCTTTAAAACTTGTACCAGACAATACTATTATAAATCATTATCATTCTATACCATCCAAAAGAGTAATAATCTTATGTCTAAAGAAGAAATTACCAAAACAAATCATATCAAGCCAAATAATTAGTATGTAACATTGGAACTAAATATTTGATCTTCGCATGATACAATGTGTTATCAAACTCATTTATATAGAGTCAAAAATAAAGTTTAACTTATCAAATTCAGATCGATAATACCACTTTTAAAAAATTTCAGTATAATAAATACTTCATCCTGATTATAAACTTACACCATGCCAATATGATAAAACTTCATCAATAATTTATCATACAGTTGCATTAATAACAGTATTATGAATTTGCATACGTATTTATGAAATAATATCATAGCTCAAATGGTTTCCATATGCTTTGTAAAAGGTATTTTACCAATCTTCTCTCTAAGAAATGATTTGATTTCTAGTATAAGGTTTTACATAGTTCAGCGTTTTAGAATATGTGTTACAACCTTCTGGTGAAATGGTTCACTACCCAATAACATGTAAAGTAAAAGAACAGCAAAAACGTAGTGGGCTAGCTTACATTAATGAAATAAAATGTGGCTGAATATTATTAGCGTACTAGTGTGATTATCGATGTGGTGACCTACTTTTCCAACTAACTGTTTGATGATCTCAATGATGTGAGGTATTAAAGAAGTTAGAAGATGATATGATACATCTAGATTGACCTTATATCGCTTTTTAATTGATAAGCTTCATTATGTAGTTCAATCACTGCAGAAGATATTGAACAAACCTGCTACATAGCTTCAAAGCATAATTTTACATATCAATAATATTTTCTTGGTTTTGAAGTTTACTGATCGGTGGAACCTAGGTACAGTATTAGCTAGAAGCCTATGTGATATGAATGCTTCAGTTTTTCACATATAGGCTTTAATAGTAACCTTATGAAAAATCCAGAAGGGAACCATATTATGCCTATAAAAATGAGCTTTTGTACCATTTTTGAAAATGAGAACGATTACAGAAATTTCATTTGATACAACAGTGTGCTTATTGTTTAGTAAGATGCATAGTAGTACTGAGATCGGTTAAAGGGTTATTTAAGTTAAGTAGTGTGAAAATGTCGCACCGATCTTGTAATTATGTAGTTATTCTTTATTTATAACACTTCATTTAAAAGCGCTTCTATCGGGTGATTGCAATTATATTTGAATGATTTAATTAAAATAGTAAGTTATATACGATGTATTGATCACTGCAATTTTCCAGAACAATGTGGAATATGATGCATTGATATGCAGCTCTTCTAGAGCTTCTGCCGGTCCCAAACCCGGGTAAAGGAGGAGGGTCGGCATGGGGTCAGCAGCCCCATCCCGTAGAAAACTAACCCGCTAACGAGAAAAATAATCAAAATCATTTAAACTCTATCCTGGGAGTTGAAGGAAGAACTATGACGCCCCAGGATGAAAGTCAGGAGTGTCCGGACAGTGTGGGAGACCGGGAAGACCAGTCAAATAGCAACGGAAATGAGGCGATATAAATTGACAGTACTTGGAATCAGCGAAACCCATCAGACACAAGCTGGACAGCAAAGGTTAGATACGGGAGAGATGCTTCTGTACTCCGGTCACGAAGATGAAAATACTCCACACACTCAGGGAGTCGCTCTGATGCTGTCCAGAGAAGCACGAAATGCACTTGTAGGATGGGAATCTCATGGATCCAGAACTATCAGAACATCATTCAAAACAAAGGAGGGGATCACAATGAGTGTTATCCAATGTTAACCAATACACGAATCAATGATAGCAACGACGACGATATAGATCAGTTCTATGAAAGGCTGCAATCAATCCTAGCTAAGTGCTCAAGAAGGGACCTCACCATCCTGATGGGAGATCTAAAGGCTAAAGTCGGAGTGGACAACACAGGATAGGAAGATATAATGGGACGATATGAACTGAGGGAGAGAAATGAAAATGGGAAGAGATTCGCAAATCTGTGTGCATTCAACAAATTGGTTATAGGTGGCACACTATTGACCCACAAACGCATAAATAAAGCTACATGGATCTCGCCGGACCACATCGCAGAGAACCAGATAGATCACATTTGTATCAACAAAGAATTCAGAAGGACAATGGAAGACGTGAGATCCAGGAGAGGAGCTGACATAGCTTCAGATCACCACCTGTTTGTGGCTAAGATGAAACTAAAGCTAAAAAAACACTGGACAACTGGATAAAACAGTATTACAAAGGTTCAATACAGCCTTCCTTCAAGATACTGACAAGCTCTACAATTCAAGATAACTCTCAACAACAGGTTACAGGCTTTACAGCATCTACTGAAAGAACAAGAAACTACGATGGAGGATAACTGGAAAAGGATAAAAGAAGCACTAACTTCAACGTGTCAGGAGGTTCTGGGTCCTAAGAAGCACCATCATAAACAATTGATCTCTATGGGAACCCTGAACAGGATTGAAGAAAGGAAGGACAAGAAGACAGCAATTAGCAAGAGTTGAACACGAAAGGAGAAAGCCAGGGCACAAGCAGACTACGCAGAAGCAAACAGGCAAGTGAAGAAAAGCATCAAAGCCGACAAGCAGAAATACATGGAAGAACTAGCGACGACGGCAGTGAAAGCTGCAAGAGAAGGGAATATGAGATAACTATATTAAACGACGAAGAAATTGGCAGGGAGATATAGCAAGCCGGAGAGACCAGTCAAGGACGAAGAAGGGAAGATAATCACTGAGATTCAAGAACAGAGGAAAATATGGGTAGAATACTTCGAGGAACTCTTGAATAGACCAGTCCCATCCAATCCACCGGACATCGAAGCAGCACACACAAACCTTCCTATAGATGTCACTCTACCAACGATCAAAGAAATCAATTGTGACCAACAGACAAATCAACAATGGGAAAGCAGCAGGACCTGACAATATACCAGCTGAAGCACTAAAGTCAAACATATAAGCAACTGCAAATATGCTTCACCTTCTATTCAAGAAGATTTGGGAGGAAGAATAAATACCACTGACAGACTGGGAAGAAGAACACTTCAAGATACCAATAAAAGGAGATCCGACCAAATGTGAGAATTACAGGGACATCACACCGTTGTCAGTTCCAGGAAACGTTTACAACAGTGTTGCTCAACCAGATGAAAGACGCAGTAAACGCCCGACTTCGAGATCAACAAGCTGCATTTCGTAAGGATCGGTAGTGCACAGACCGAATCGCGATGCTACGGATCATCATGGAACAATCAGTTGGATGGAACTCGTCACTATACATCAACTTGATTGACTATGAGAAGGCATTTGACAGTGTGGACAGGAGAACATTATGGAAACTTCTCCGACACTATGGAGTTCCTGAGGAGATCGTCAACATTATCCAGAACTCATACGACGGACTACATTGCAAAGTCGTGCATGGAGAACAGCTGACATGCATTTTCAGTAAGGACTGGAGTCAGACAAGGCTGTCTACTCTTCCCCTTCCTCTTTCTTCTGGTGATTGACTGGATTATAAAGACCTCAACATCTGAGGGGAATACAACGGATATCTCAGAATCGATTAGACGATTTGGACTTCGCGAATGACCTAGCCCTTCTACACACGAACATATACAGACGAAGACAACTAATGCAGTATCAGCATCAGCATCTGCACCAATAAGCTTCAACATACACAAGGGAAAAAGCAAGATTCTCAAATACAACACGGAGAACACCAACCAAACCAATAACACTTGATGGCGAAACTCTGGAAGAGGTGGAAACATTCATGTACCTGGGAAGCATCATTGATGAACAAGGAGGATCGGATGCAGATATAAAGGCGAGGATTGGCAAAGCAGTGACTGCATTCCTACAACTGAAAAACATATGGAACTCAAAACAACTGTCAACTAACTTCAAAGTGAGAATCTTCAATACGAACATCAAGACAGTCCTACCGCATGGAGCTGAAACGTGGAGAACTACTACGACCATCATCAGGAAGGTACAAGTATTTATAAACAGCTGTGTACGCAAAATACTCAACATTCATCGGCCGGATAGTGTCAGCAACAGCGTTTTATGGGAGAGGACAAATCAGCTTCCAGCTGAAGAGGAAATTAGGAAAAGACGTTGGAAGTGAATCGGACATACATTGAGGAAATCACCAAACTGCATCACGAGGCAACTCCTAACATGGAATCCGAAAGGGAAACAGAAAAGAGGAAGGCCAAAGAACACATTACGCCAGGAAATAGAAGCAAATATGAAAAGGATGAATAACATTTGGAAAGAACTAGAAAGGATTGCCCAGGACAGGGTTGGATGGAGAATGCTGGTGAGTGGCCTATACTCCTCCACGAGGGGCAACAAGCGTAAGTAATTAAGTAAGATATATTAGTTCAAGTTATTACAGAGTAAAGGGTGGGTGCTTTTACTCTTATACATAATAACCAAAACGTATTAGTTTAGATCTTTAACTATTAATTTCTGTTACATCTAGGATTCCAGACGTTAAAACACCTACTCCTCTTAGCTTATATCTCACTTTAGTACTGATTGCAAATCATTACAAGCAATACAGTTTAGTTGTTATAAACTCATATAAGTTGCAGATACTTTGTTTCTTGCAGATGAAATATTCATTATTCGATTTGTTTATTCTTACTGGATGATAAGCTGAATAAAACAGCAAGCAAATCCTATTTTCAACAGTTTGATTCTATAGGCGTATAGCAAAACAAGTAAGAAAATTTATTCCGAGGTTACCGACTAGAAACTGTTGTATGTAAGTCAATATAACATCAGCTCTTAAAATCAATCCTTTATTTAGATAAAGGTATGTCTTAATGCATTATCTTTTGCATGGTTAGAAAGTTTAAATATCATGCCAGACGTTCTAGAAAGTTCCTCTAAAGTCAATTAAAGATAGAAAAACATGAATATCTCCACTCCTAAAAAAATTAATTTATCCAACTTTTTGATACCAGTAGAATGTATTAGGTTATTCGTCTTAATCACAAGTTGTCGAACTAAAAGTATAATTAACAAAATAGAAATCAGGAATTGTTTCTGTGTTACGTATCGACTTTAGATAAAAATAACACATCTTAAAAATTTATTTAGTTTGATTTTACGAAATAAATTAAATTATGAAAATTTTGTTTTAATATTGATAGGTATATTTTGTATAAAATATTAACAATTAGTCATATTTTTTCATCTGTAGACTCTCCTGTCAAATCGATGCATACCTCGATGAGTCTCATTACATACTTCAGTATTGAAATGTTGAAATAAGACTATTGATAGACAATAAACTATTAGTATTAGTAATTTTACCGCTGTTATCACTGTATTACGCTAACAAATTTTGTCGATTGGATTGATGAATAAGTAAGTGAAGTATGTCACCTGATCAATTATTCATCAAAACACCCAACAGAATATTAAGTAACAAACAGGAATGGTAAACCTGGATTAGTATGTATTAAATATATAACCGTAATAAGTTTCATTAATATGTCTCCACCCTCCTAAACGATACCAACTATGTTACCTCAAAAAACCTGTAAAACGTTTGTTTCAAACTAATCATTTATGACGAAATCGGAGATGAGCAAGACATAGTACAAAAAATTATTTACGAAAACATACTATTTTGATATTCTAATTTTTTAATGCGACAGATAGAAGAGGCAGAGGAAAAAAAGTTAAGATTAAAAACATTGGAAGAGTTCACTTAATATAGAAGTTGACTGGTGCTCAGCATCTTGAGAAACGGCATTCGATAAATTGCATTTCCAAACTATAGGTAAATCAGCAAGGAACTTTAAGCTCCTGTGCTCTTCTTAGTCGATAATTTCATAAAGTAATACCACATCTTGGTTCAACTACCCTCAGTTTTTTGGCATCATACTTATACCAGACTTTATTAATCACTAAATCTTCACAGAATTAAATATCAGTAAGAAATTCCCTAAGACATTTGTAGTACGAGGTAAGTTTTAGATTCCGTCCGAAAGGTGGCGTAATTATTCTGATGCCAGGAACATAGGCAAGCATATCATAACATAAAAGAGCGATCACATCATTAAAGTTTCGATTTTCTGTAAATTGAACCATCCTGAAAAGTGCTGAGAAAAATAGGTTGACATATTATCTAACATTAGTGAAGTACATAAAGCGCTATGATCGAAAAACTAACTGGTATACGTGGAGTGGGTAATTTAATAACTGCGGGAATATCTTTGAAAATGAGAATCCTGAAGTCAGAGCAAAATGATTTCATTATTCCTCCTGTAGCAAAATTATATGAAACAATCCCAAGATAGAGTCTAAGACATAGAGTTTAATCTACTTGTTTTCGGGTGAAGAACTGACCTAAAATAACGATCACGATTAGTGAACCAGGAAAACAAAACATATGAGGATCAAGAAGTGAAAAACACTAGTGTTTCTTTAAAATCTGGCACTTGATAAGTTTGTTTTGGTTCAAACAACTTCAGCTCATAGCATTAGTACTATCACGCATCACTGTCATGATACTGATGCTGCTAAATTATCAAACCAGACAAAACCAATGAAGGACTCGTCGGTTGTTGTTTGATTTATTGAATCCTTAATAACGACTTGGTTGACTGCCATTGCCGAATTAGTTCAACCTGATCGGTTGTTAAAGTATTTGAAAATACTGTTTATTGTTCGATCTTGCGTCACGTGCAGGGAAACTATTCTTCTCTCGAAGAATGACAGAACTTTATGACTAATTGAGGTGCAGACAGGGATTTAGAAAACCTTAGACATAAACAGCACAAACCACAATAAGACGTTTCACAAGGCCTAATTGTTGAAACTTTGTACAACTATACGGATCTTTTAGACCGAGCTAGTATTAAATAAAGAACTGAACATTATTTTTATAACAGTAGATAAGGTAAATATAAATAATTCCTAGAAACCACTGGACATTATCAAATCTTAAGCCTTTTTCTCCTTTGGGCAAATGAAGGTAAAAAGAGTTATAACACACTCTAGTTAGTCACCGTTTTATAAATAACGAACGGTCTGGGAAAAGTCTGTGCAGTTCATATTATCACACTTAACATCAGCACAGTGATATAAAGTCAAAAAATATGAAGATTAAAAAGTCAGGTTTACAGCAACAACGACTGTAGTGAATTAAATCTGAGAAATAGTTTCCAGAAATAATCGATAGATTGCATTGTTCTAGTGGACAGCTGCTGGATACACTTTTTATATACTTCCACTCTTGTTACTGATTGAGAGTAGCCTTATATTTTACCGTTTCGTCCATTTGAATATTACCTTAGCATCAGATTTCATGCGATTTTTTAGATAGAAACAAACTAACCATGTGAATGTTTTCATTATTTGCAAGTTGAATACTGACTTTTTCAAAGACTTTTCACTGTCTCAGTGCCTGGTAAGAGCTTGTTCTGTAAATATTCTCGGACAAAATTCAACCATCGGCAAAACTAGCCATAGCTTTCTAGATTTTCGTTTTTTCGTAATTTATTTGAAAGACAGTGGAACAAATTCTATGTTATGGTGATCCATTCTACAACAATGTACATTTTTAACATAGACTGTAAAATGGATCTATCTCTAACAGAAATTAAAGATGAACTGCTTATTTTACTCAGACAATATTGTATCAAAAAAATACTTCTAAAGTGAACCAGCTATCAATATTACTATGAAAATTTGTGGCTTTGAAACCACAATTCTTTAGCATGATTCAAATTATTTTATATTTAGAAAAAAGTTAAATTCTTAACTACTCATTAAAATGGTGACCTTTATAAATCAAAGCCTAATAAGTCACTTACTGATACTGAAACGGACATGCAACGATCATCCAACAAGTGCACACTACAAGGCATATCAGCGATATTCATATTGCTTCCAAATAATCTTCCTCTGTTCGGACCCAATAAACTTAAGATAACCGATTTTCTACTCGCACTATTTTTGTCATTTTCTGTATCATGAGACTGGCTGGACTTCCGAGGTAGTGACATTTCAAATCTGAAACGTAGTATGGTTATGTTCGACCTTTGATTATTTTGTGACCAGCTTATCCGCACGTTTCACTAGAGAAATATATAAAACGCAGTATATTAGAGGATCTTATAGAAAAAGAGGTGGAAAACAGGCCAACAAATCAATTAACAATTAAACTGAACTTACATTCAACAATGTAGACTGTCGGTAACAAATAACAATGACAGTCAAATGTGACCAACATACATACAACCTTGAAAATCATGCATTATAACGATTCCAGTAGTTCACGACACACAGCTATATTTTATGCACTATGTGTATTTTAGGAGTAAATATGATGCTTTTTAGTTAGTTAGCTAGTTAGTCAATACGTGGAACCTGTACGTATGTACATTCAGCCCAAGTTGCCATACCCCATTAGCAAAAAGATGTGTCGTTTTTAATCCGTATACCGGAGTAATGGAAGTAATAACAGTATCAATGGTAATGGAAAAGATAAGGCATTAAATAAAAAAACTTGGAAAGAAAATATGAATTAGCGAAATAAGAACAGAAAGGTTGAAAGAAATTCAGAGTCTCAGGATTGTAGCTGTAAATAGTTCCCCAAAATCAATAGCTCCTTAAGTGTTCGACATTGGATGCTGACCACATTGTTTTAAGTCGGCTTGTTTAACTGAAGCCTTTCGACCAGACATCAGTATCAGATCACGTTTCGACTCGGCGTGGGACACAGCTCCAACGTTCACTAGCCAGCTTATAACAAACGCTCTTCGATATATTGATAATGTATCAAATACATCTTTTCTACCTCTTCTCGTCTGACTTCTAATTTCAACTGGTTGAGGAACGCTTCGAACACAGAAGGTGTTACTGGTTTAGAGTTGCAAAACTTCAAGACTAGTCGTATCTTCAGTGGTGAACCCGACATGATCTGGTACACCAAGTGCATAAACTGTGAGTCTGTTCCTTTTTGGAACTTCATAATTAATTGTTTTTCTTTATTTGATTTATATATATTGTGATATACCTTTTTCCGGATATATTTTAATGATATATTTCTCGTTCTAATAATACTATGACGGAAAAGACACCTAAGGTTTTTAAGTTAAAATCTATTCCCCCATCTTCGATTCAGTTAACGCCTTTTTGGCCTGACAATATCACTGCTACGCAGAAGCTGACTTTTGCGGGCACGGAATCACGGACTCGCGCACGCAATTTCTCGCGGTAGTTAGGGTGCTACCACGCGAATTTAACAGGTACGTAACACCTAGTATGTTTACTAGTGATGTTTCGGAACCTTACGAAATACTCAAACGATCGATTCTGAAACGTAGAGATCTAACCGACCGACAAAGGTTAGACCAACTACTCAATAATATCAACCTGCAACATGGTTCTGCGACAGATATGTTGCTTAAGATGAGAAAAGTCATAGGTCAAAGATGGCCTATTGAAACAACTTTTCTTGTCTAAACTCCCGAAACAGGCGCAGGCAGTACTCGTCTCGTTCCAAAACAACGCCGTAGACGAACTAGTTGTATCTGCGGATCAAATTCTAGAAATTACCAAATCGGCTGGTGTCGAGGTTTTTTCAATCAAAGAAAAACCTCAATCAACCCCGACTGACATAGCCGAACTATGTCACACCCTTACCCGATATCTTAGATTTTGTAATGACCGTAGTCGGTCAGGAACCGCGCGAGAAGCGTATCACGTAGGCGATCTGTCTCTCGACCACGAGAGACAGATAATCCCGACTGGTGCTAGTATCATAACCAGTATGGCAAATCATCTAGAAATTGCAGGAAGCCCTGATAAGAAAAAAAACTCGGGAAACTTCCCAGCCGGTATGCGTTAACGGCAACCGTAGCCAGCGAACATAGCCGCCTATTATACGTCGCGGATGTGACAACGAAAGTTCGCTACCTCGTCGACACTGGCGCAGAAGTTAGCGTGCTTCCCGCGAACTCTAACGACAGACTTCACGAGTCCGTTTTAAGTTTGCGGGCGGCAAACGGAAATCCGATCGCTACTTACGGTAAAAGGTACGTCTACCTTAACGTGGGTTTACGCAAACCCATACACTGGATTTTCGTTGTTGCAGATGTCTCTATGCCAATCATTGGTATAGACCTGTTACAATACCACAATCTACTAATCGACACACGCTCACGAAAGTAAAAAGACGGAAACACTAAGTTATCCGTTTGCGTAACTCCTTTTTCTGGTTGCAGGTTATCCCCAGTCACGATTAAACACACCATAGACCCCCTATATCAATCATTACTCGACAAATACTCCGGGATATATCAACCGCAACAGAAATTGCCGTGTGTAACCAACAATGTTACACATCACATCTCGACTACAGAACCACTTGTATTCCCCGAAAAGCTGAGGTTGGCTAACAACGAATTCGACCATATGATAGACTTGGGGATAATTCGACCATCAAATAGTCCATGGTCATCTCCTTTGCACATGGTCCCTAAAAAGAACAGCAATGATTGGCGTCCAACTGGTGATTATCGGAGTCTGAATGCTAATACCATTCCCGATCGTTACCCATTGCCTCACGTTCACGGTTTGACAGCTACCTTGAAAATCGACTTAGTTAAGACTTACAACCAAATACCGATGGCTAATGACGACATTCCGAAAACCTCCATCATAACCCCTTTCGGCCTCTACGAATTTCTACGAATGCCTTTCGGTTTAAGAAATGCGGCTCAAACCTTCCAAAGGTTCATAGACGACGTCTTCCGAGGTCTCAACTTCGTACATGCGTATGTTGGTGACTGCCTCATAGCAAGTCCGGACAGAGAATCACATCTCAAGCATCTGGACATTGTTTTCGTACGACTACAAAGGCATGACATTACTGTCAACATTCAGAAATGCCAAATCGGAACTAACTCCTTTGACATTTTAGGACACGCCATTGATGCTCAAGGCATCCGACCCCTTAGAAGCAAAGTGGCGGCCATTCTGGATTACCCAGAACCGACCACGATCAAGCGATTGCGCACTTTCAACGGCCTGGTAAGTTTCTACAGTTGGTTCATACCAAATCGCGCATCTCTTATGAAACCGTTAACAGACCAAATTCTATTAGTCTAGACGACACCGCGCGAAAAGCATTCTCCACAGTTAAGGAACATATCGCAAAGGCAACCCTGCTCGCACATCAAGACACTCAAGCGCCCATTAGTATCGCCGTGGACGCATCCGACTCAGCAATCGGAGGAGTCTTACAACAATGGGTTAACAACTCTTGGCAACCTTTAGGGTTTTTCTCGAGACGGTTGTTAGACACTGAATCTAGGTACAGCACTTTCTGTAGGAAACTTCTAGCTATGCATTGCGCTGTACGACATTTCCAACATTCCATCGAAGGAAGGCAATTCACACTTTTTACCGATCATAAACCTCTTGCTTTTTCTTTAAGTTCATCTTCAGATAAGTACTCACCGCGAAAGTCTCGACAGCTCGACTACATTTCGCAGTTTACTTCAGACATACAACACATTTCTGGAGCAAACAATGTAGTCGCAGACGCCTTGTCTCGAATAAGTTCCTTGAACAGTTTCCAGGGAATCGACCTTCTTAAACTCGCTCAGCTTCAAAAAGAAGACACTGATCTTCAGCACGAGTTATCCTCAACAATCCTCAAACTGCGTAATAAACAGATGGGAACAGGTAAGGAAACCTTACTATGTGATGCATCTACAGGTAGGGATCGTCCAATAGTACCAAAACATTATCGACACGACTTCTGATTTCAACTGGTTGAGGAACGCTTCGAACATAGAAGGTGTTACTGGTTTAGAGTTGCAAAACTTCAAGACTAGTCGTATCTTCAGGATTTAAAAAAGACAAAGAATGGATGGACCTACACCAGTTCAGGTGATTTTCGGCCATATGACTTGAATTTTCTAACCATTGGTAACAATAATCACGCGGGCCCCAATTAGGTAGTGTGTACGTAATAGTACGACTAAGTCCAATCGTCCATAACTTCATGGACTGATGCCATGTTCTAGTCGGGCTGCTTCTAGCTTTTTTCAGCCTGCTTCTGCACCAGAAAACAACGGGCGTCAAGGTATGAGGTGGTTCGTTACACTCAACACATGTCCTGACCACGTCATTTGATAATGATTTACTACCTCATCAGTTTATTTACCATCTTTACCCGATGCCCTATGTCTAGCCTCAGAAATGTACACCCAATCGTCCCAACACATATAAACAATGCTTCAAATGCACATATAGTTAAATATAAAAAATATTCTTTGTTCCTATTGGCCTGTCTTTACCTTCATAATGTAAAACGGCAAAATATTGTTTAACTGACTCGTCCTTTGATTGGATTTTGTCAGACACCAGATCAGCAGTACATTGCAACTCCAAAAATAAATGAAGAGGTCGATGTGTTCAATTACTTCACTTCCTATCGCATATTCAGGCAGTGACGCAAGTCATTCCTGAAGTGACATTTAAAGTTTGAATGAAGTGGACCGCGTCCCGAACGTGCTTTTACTGCCGTGTATGTTGGTCAAAAGTCTCCGCATTTTATCAGAGTCCTCACCAAACAGAACTACATTATCTGTGTATTCCAAGTCAACAGGTGAATCTCCTCTTAGGTGATTAGCTTCTGAAAATTCAGACGGTGGAAGTACTATCTGTAAAACCATCTGCCGATTTTTGGCTGGAATGGGAGTGTTCGAATAGAAAGCATATATACATAGTTTATGTGCTTCTTTGGTACTCTTTTCAGTGACAAACACTGCCATAGAACCTCGTGATAAACGAAGTCGAACACTGCCTTAGGGTAGAGGAAATCAGCGACAGCCGGCATCAAAAAGCACATCCATGTTCCAGAATCTGCTAAACAGTGAATATCTAGTCAATAAATCCACGTCCAGGTCTGTAATCAGCCTGCTTTTCTTGAGCTTACTCATTGGTAGCTCTCGTTAGACGTCAAAATGCTATTGAGCTCAATATTTAAGAC